GGTGCGTCGATAATCGATGTATCGAGTTCCTGTACCATCGAGCCAAGAGGAGCATAAGACCGATGCGGAAAAACGCGATAAAACCGTAAGTATGGCGCCGGCTAATTCTTCTTTTTTTTTTTTCTCTTTTTATATACACTTAATGAAAGGGATGTATTCGGGTACGGCGAAACGTTTCCAGGGTCTTAAGGCTATGTGAAAGTCGCGGTCTCGTTTATGAAACTTTTCCTTCAACTGGGTGTATCGCATCGTTTCAATGTTTACAACGTGAATGTGAAGATTATAAAAAAATGGCGTTATCACCGAAAAAAGTATAGATGAGTGTCAATTTATCGACCTCGATTAAATTTCTCAGGGCCTTTCGTATCATCTTAAGACTCGAGTTTTCGAAACCTAAGATGCGAAACGGGTGGCTAGACGTGCAAAGGAAAAATGAAGGCACGATCGCTTATTCCGCTTGTACCACTTGAGTACTCAATGGCGTTATCACCAAAAAGTGTACAGACGAATTTCAATTTACCGACCTCTATTAAATTTCTCAGCGCCTTTCATATCATCTTAAGACTCAAGTTTTCGAAACCTGGGATGCGAAACGCGTTGCTAGACGGCCCCAGAGAAAATAAGGGCACGATAGCCTGTTCCAATCAAACCGAAGAACGACCCCGAGAGGTCCAAGCCTCTGTCACGCTGCGGCGTGGCGCGTCGCGCGCCAGGCCACACGCGGTGTATCACGCTACCCCAGAACGTGACGGCGTGACAGAGAATAGCATAGTATAAAGCATAAACTACAATTAGCGGCAATCCGCCTGACAGGGGCATGCCACCCTTTACGCGTATTACGGCATTAGCCTCCGCAGGGAGGCGAGGGCTGTACGTCATTTCGCGAGGCGAGGACGCGACTCCACCCCCACGCGTCTTGCGACTTCCGGATCCACGGAAGAAATTACCCCCCGGGGGGAACGTATGAGAGGAAAAAATTCCTTTCTTGCGCAATAAAATAGCACGAAATAAACAAGAAATTTTGCAAGAAATTATATTTAATTGTACAAGGTCGTATTTAACCCCGAGAGGGCCTCCGCGAAAACCGGGAGCAAAAGGAAGCTACGGCTCGGTGCGATTTCGTTTCACTTTGTAAGGGGTCGGGTAATAATGAGGAATAAACAATGCCGAAAGGGTAGGAGGCGCGCGATCGTTGTTATTTGTACCGAGGGAACATTCGCCTCGGGACCTCGGCGAGGACGAGGCCGTTTTTGCCGGCCGGGATACGTCCCTCTTCATGGGCAAAATAAAACCACCGGTGGCGATCGTTCCACGGAATTATGGACACGCCCCGCGGTAGCTATTTTCAGAGGCCGCGCGGAAAGATAGGCCGTTTATGGGGGAACAAATAAACGCAAGGTTGAACGAAAAGCGAGTAGAAACGCGGCCCGAGCTCGGGGATTCGGAAGGGAGTCCGGCCTCCACCTTCGATCCATTTGTCCCATCGAGGGAGAGAGAGAGAGAGAGGGGACGGGAAAGGCGACGAAGAGGGCCCGGTAAAAGGAACAAGGACGGAGGGACATAATCGAGTATTTTTACGTGGCGAGCGAAACAACTCCGCGTGATGGGGGGAAATAAAACGAGGGCCGAAGCGATCGTTCCGCGGGTATTGCAGATCCGTTTTGCATTCACGGTTGTATTTCTGCAGAACGGGGGAAAGAGCTGTTACGGGGACACGAGTATCGAAGGGCTGTAAAAAGGAGGAAAAAAAAAAGAGAGGGGCAACGAGAGGGACAAACAAACGCGGGGCGCCGGAAACCGGAGCGGAAGACGGAGAGGACCGTCAAATGTCAGGTGTACGCTCGATAAATGGAGAACGGCCCTTGGCCCCGGAGTGGCGAATAAAAACCCGGGAGGATAAGTGCGGACGGCGAAAGATAGTAGACGCGAGTTCCTTTATTTACTCTCGGGATTATTTTCGGCGAGGATGGGATGTATCTCTACTCGCGGCGAGGGCGGAGGCGCGTACCTACCGCTCCGAAAGAAACGGAGAAACGGAGTACGGAAGAACGCCGGTTAACCCTTTAATTACGAAATCTCCCTGTAGTGGCCTCCTTCTGACCGACGTTTCCTTCCGAAGCGCCATTATAATGGCCCACTTTATTCCCATGTACGCAAAGCGACAAATATATATCGTATTAACACATTCGCGACCGCTGACGTGAATTCACGTCATTTTAAATTCTATTCCTGATTGCCGCTAACGTGAATCACGTCCATGACGATACAGGATACAAGTTTGCGGCAACCAGTTTAAGAATCTCATTATTTTCGCCGGTACTCAGTACTTGAAACGGAAGAAATTTACAAGTCGCGAATATGTTGATATAAAATATTACCACTCCACGGCGAGACGGTACATCCCCACGCCCGACTATGCCGTAGATAAGGTGATATGAAAGTGTGATATGTACATATGAAAAAAAAAAATGTGTATTTATCTTGGACGAGAACGAAGAAAGATACTTTTGTTCGAAAAATGAAATTTCATGAGCGTCGGTACCTTCCTTACAGTCTCCATATTCACGTTGTAAAGTTTAAAACGATTCGGTGAGCCCAGTTGGGAGAAAAGTTTAATAAACGCAGCCTCTTCGACGCCACCTTCGCACCGCCTTAACCGCGAACAAACGACCGGGCCCAATTCCGAAGAGGGCGTAGAGACGTTCCGAGGGCGCCGACGAAACTTTTCGATTAATTGAAAGCCCTGTCGGAGATCCCCAGCAGTCGCTCTTTGGCCCGGAAGTCTAATGCCGGGTTTTGCAGAGCTTTAACTCCGGGATTACCGTCAAGGCGTGTGCTCGCACCCCAAGTAGATTTTTCCCTGATCGAGTTGCCGCGATCGTTCCCCCGGTCGGTGGTCTTCGAGTCGCCCGTTGTAAATCGGAGCATCGCCGAATCCGCCGAGGAGAGTTTCGTTAAAACCGGAGCAAAGGTCCCTGTGAGTGCAAGGGGGGCGAAACGAGCCGAAACGGGCCGCGATTCCCAGGCTCGCTCAATTTCCCCGGGAAATGCCGGATGGAAATCGGCGGCTAAAGGGAGTACCGCGGCCCGAAAGGCGGGAGCTCGGATTCGGGGCACGTATCTCGCGGAAGCGTTTCTAAAGTATGTCAGCAATACGGCACTCCGCTTTTGTATTCATTTATTCAACCTCGACGGAACGCGAGCCGGGCCGCCGGCCGGGCGCCCTTTTAGGGCCTCGGGAATCTCGCTACCCGGTCGCTACCCCGCCGCAAAGGGCCTCTCCCGGGGAGCTTTTTCAATTTTAAATCCACCCCAATCAGACTCCCTTAACGGCGCTTCTTTGAGTGGGCGAAAGTCGGCCGGGCGCACTTAACGAGTCGCGAGGTTTGCCCGCCGCGCGTTTTCAAGCGGCCCGGAAACGCCGGGCTTACCCTACCTCCTCGTCGATCGGTATTTCGGTCTGGTTCCTCGGTTCTCTTGCGTCTCTCCCGAGACGACTACGCGGATAAGTGTCTCTCGCCCGATGGTGTCCGTTCGGTCGGTAAACACGGCCTAGCAGGGACGTTACCGCCCGAAGTAGCCACGAGCCGGTGACGCCATCTCGCAGGGGCGTCTTCAAATCGTAACCCAACAACGGATCGCGTTCAAAATCCAAATCGAGCCTCACCGCCAAAACAAGTTCCTTCAATTCGGCGTATTATTCGGACGTACAACAATATTTCGTATTTATTGCTACGCGAAGTAATGCCGTTTGTAATGTATAAGGAATAATGATAGCGTTAAACGCGAATAATGCCCGGAGACGGACAAGAAAAATACGTGGGAGATGGTGCGCCATCGTAGGGAAGGACGGATACATCGAACGAAGCTTTTATTTTCGATAAGTAATTGCCCAGGGTTAAAAATATTCCAACTCACTGATACGTAGCTACTTCTTTGTTGATCTGGACGTCGAGACGACCTCGGATGACCTCCGATCGATCCTCTGGAATCTGATTTCCTTGTCTCGTATCCGACGCCGTGGGAGCCCAGTTATCCAATCAGGTACTCCTTTCGTCGTTTCGGACACTTTTTTCATATGTCGCACTTCACACTTTGCGTTATTGAACGCCGTATACCCTCAGAACCCTGCACGGAACGCGTTTACCGAGAACCGAAACGATACTCACTCCAACTTCGCGAATAAATCGGGAGAGAAATGCCGATCGCCCGACGATTCATTACGCAATGGCGGCCGAACGAAGACTCGAGTTGCGAGCGCTCGACGTTTGAATACAACCGCCCGCACGCGCTCGCAGCGCCACCTGCGAGATCTTTCAGGTACTTCTTCCTTACCTATGGAAATATCTCCTGCCTACGGCATATTGCACCATTCAAATAAATATTAACGATTGCGGACGATCACTAACTATTTTCGAATGTGTATGACGGCGATGTTTACAGTCTTGAACAAAAAAAATCAGCTCACTGTCGATAGTTTTAATTGCTAGCTTACTTGAACTGCGAAGCTAGTTTGCTGACCGCTCCGATCGAAGTTATCAACTGATGCTTGAACTCTTATTATAACGTACCATCGGAGAATTATTACTATCCAATTCCTCTAATAAAAATATGCCTGCTCCACTGCAAAGCTAGTTTCCCGACCGTCCGATCGAAGTTACCAACTGATGCCTGAATTTTTATTATAATGTACTATCGGAAAATTGTTACTATCTAATGCCACTAATGAAAATATACCTGCTCCACTGTAAACCTAGTTTCCCGACCGTTCCTACCGAAGTTACCAACTGATGCTTGAATTCTTACGATAACGTACCAGGCGCGACCCTGCCCGTGAGCAATCTCCAAACTCATCTCTGTTTACGACTAATCACTCGTAGCTAATAATTACCAAATAACGACAAAGTAGTCAATACTTGGCAAAGTCAAGGTTAATAATAAAAAAAATACAATTAGAAAGACATGACTAGGTCGAAACCACAGGCCCTGCAAACGATAAAAACTTTGTAATCATTTATTTTATGACAATATATGGAAATTCAACACTCGCGTCTTACATATTTATATCATACTTCGCAGTTAACAATTGAGCTCTGTTATATATGTATAGTATAGCACAGATTCTTTATAGGTATTCTTAGGATTAACGAAACGTCGTTACTTATGCCGCTCTCGCATAAATAAAACAACTTGCGGTCGACGTAGCTTGCCATGCGCAAGGACTCGTCGGGAGTAACGAGAGGTATGATCTAAGCTCTCGGCGACCACGGACGGCAAATAGAGATCCTGAGACCCCCCGCCGCGGAATACAAAGGTAATCTCGAAATTATCACTGAAACTAGTCTGACTAAGATGACCGAAAACAAAAAACAAACAATAGATCACGAATTAATTCGAGCAGCGGCCGGCAATCGCCGGATATTCGCCATCCTTAATCGGCCGATCGGAGGTCACCAGCTCGGAGCGAAGCCCTCGAGGAAGGATCGTCCAGGATTAATTGAAAACAAAAAAAAAAGAAAAAAAAACATAATGAAAGACTCGTTACGCGATACTTACACTCGGTAGCTTAACAGAGGAAACGTCGACGCAACTTAATCTCGAACGCGGATGTTCCCGCGAGAGAAGGACGAGAGATTAAAAAAAAAAAAGGGAGGGGAAAAACAAACAAATGAAATTATCCGAAGCTGGCAGTGGTGCTGGGCGCGAGAACGGGTTCGCGAAAATAAAAGAAGAAAGGAACACAGGGAGAGGAGAAGAAAGAGGAAGAGAAATTGAGAGCGCCGAGTCGTCGAAGAGAGTTACGTGAAAATCTCGCGAACCGCGGTTCCTCCTTAATGTCTCCTTAAACGAGGTAATGATTACCTAAGTGTCTACGTGATAAGACGTTCCCCGCGATCGGTCATTTGGTAGTTTAGCCATGCTCCCGCCTCATGGAGCGAGCGATCGTCGTCTCCGGGAGACCTCGGTATCCCGAGGTCCCGGCGACGAGTTCCTCGCCCGGAGATCCTGTTTCAGAAGTGGTCCAGCCTTACGATCACGTGGTCGGAAGTGGGCTCCGGTAGTTTGACGTCGAGCCAGCCCGTGTCGGTGCGATCTTCCGAGTCGGTGGCCTTCAGGGCCAGCCGATGAGCCGGGGTCGCCCTGTGGGGTATCCTCAGCTCCACGGGATTCCTGAACTCGAGGCCCCGGGGCCCGCACTCCACCAGAGGACTCAGCAGGAACTCACCTGTAGAGATGAAGAAGCCATCCCGATAAAGACAAGAACACTTAACAATCCCCATGAAGTTTCAAGACCTTTGTCGGGACCTCCGTAATCGCGCGTTAAAGTTTCAAATTACTCGGTGCACCCTAGTTCATAAATATCTTGACATTTTAATGTATACGTTTCATACCACCTTAACGAGTTAATGGATTAACGAGTTAACGGGCTACGAGGGAAGGCCACCACCGGGAGATAGGGGACCTGGTGCGAGGCTCACCGTGGTGCATGGGCGGCGAAGCGGCCGAGGGCGAGGGTCGGTCAGGGTCGGGGTCGCTGGTCCCGGTAACGGAGAAGTAGATCTCCTGGCGAGCATCCGGGGGCAGAGCGCCGGGGGGCACCGTGAGCGTGACGCCCCCAGGCCCCTCCAGGACACCGCCATCGCTAGAGAAGACCCCCCTCACCGTACCGACGGTCCTACGATCATCCACGACCGCGTCGATCGAGAGTTAGTCCAGGAGTTAATGGGAGACATTAGTCCACCGCGACTGACCCACGCGTCCCCGAAGCAATTAGCCCTTTCTCGGCGTCAAAACGGGTGAAAACGGGAAACGAATGGTCCCCGGTTTACCTGATGTTGTGTTGGTGCAAGGGCTTGCGATAAAGCTCGAATGCACTGCCACGTTGTTCCCTGCTGCCGGCCAGGTCGAGCCCACTGGGCTCCCTGTTGTGACCGGAAGTCCCGTTTCCAGGGCCTGCAGGGTGGCCGTGGCCTTGACCCTGCCCGTGACCATGGCCGTGTCCATGGCCGTGGCCATTGTGGGCCGAGTTGGTGCGACCATGTCCATGGCCTGCGCCGTTCCCGTGGGAGTGAGTCGTCATGGGGGGGCTGGAATGGGCGTGAGTGTGGCTCAAACCATGACTATGACTGTAGCCGTGGTTAGCGTTGGGGTAGCTCTCGCCCCCTACGCCGTTGCGACTCGGTGGAGGCACGTTGTAATAGTACTGACCGCTGTTCCGCTGCGCGTTGCCTCCGTTCTCCGCCTGCGGGGGAAAAGAAAAGACGAGTAGGGAAGGTGGTCTTCGTGGTCTCGAGTAGGGAGATCATCTACTCACCCCATTGTGGACGTGCATCGTCGGGATGGAGTAGCTCTTGGCGTGCTGGTACAGGTTCCCCCCGTTGGTCTCGTCCTGAAGAACGGGCTGCTGAGGAGGCCGGTAGTTCTTCGGCTTCGGGGGTGGTACCGGCTTGTAGGTACCTCCCGGTTTGCCCTGGGGGGTCGGAACGGACTTGTAGTCCCCGGTGCGGCTGAAATGGAAAAAGCAGAACCTCTAGCTTACTCGGAGGGAGCTGGGACGGGATCGATGGCCGGAGGGGTCGGACTACGGTCAGACTAAAGTGTCTCTTCGGGAAATGTAAACTCTACAGGCTCGTCGCAGGGGTCGGGGTTTGCGCGCCGCTGCCCTGCGGAAAGAGAGAAGAAGAATGCACTCGAGAACGCGTCCTCGTCCTCCGGCACGACCTACGTCCTGGTCCCTCGTCGCGACCGGACCCCAGTCCCAGGTGTCCTGCAATGGCGTTCTCTCCCCGTCGGCTCACCTGTACTTGGCATAGTCCGTCCTGGCCTGGGTCTCCTGGACGTTCGCCGGGATCGGCTGGGCGGTGGACCTGGTGAACCTATAGGGATCATGAGCCCTGGGAGAAATAGGGATCCCTCCGCTCTTCAGGTCGTCCGGAACGTTCGGTCCCAGCCTTCCGGGAGAAGCGTTCATGTTGACCCCGGTATAGTTGGCGCTCCCGTTCGCGTTGTTGTACGAATCGTAGGAGGACATGCTGTCGTAGCTACCCTGTAAACCGAAGATTCGAAATCCTCGCCCTTGCAGCCTCTGGGTACCGGAAACACCCCGAGGACGAGGTGGGGACTCACCGCTTTCGGCTGCGTCCTCTCCAAGGAAGACGTCGCGTTAGCCCTGTGGGGCGTGGCGTTAATATAGTTGGCCACGTCCAGCACGGAATCAGTCTTATTGGCGAGCCTCTCCTGAGCCGATCGGCCACCCGGGCCCCTGGGAAGCTGACCGGGAGGCTTGGCGTTGCGGTCCACCCTGGGCGGCAGATCCGGAGGACCTTGATGAGGAGATCTAGGTTGGATGGGTCCCCCAGGGTACTGGGGTGGTCCCGGCTGGTCCGCCGTCTGTCCCGTAAGGGAGAATCCATATTTACTATCCCCGGCACCGCCTTGAGACCTCCTCTTGTGTTGCTCGAAAGCCTGAAGAGAGACGTCGACCCTCGGTAAACTCACGAAATCGGGGTCTTCCGGTGGAAGCCGAAGTGATGTATCAACCTGGTAATTTGTGGTGTAGGGCGGTGGAGCGGCCGTGTCGTCCTGCGTCGCGATGCTGGGGTCGGAGCTGCTCTTCAGACGCGACGGTGGTCCCAGGGCGCCGGGAATGGGGGGTGCGGGGCTTAACTCCAGGTCACTCTCCGGGGAGGAGGCGTAGGAGAGGCGTGAAGTCATCGGGAAGAGGAAGTCATCCGAGAGGGCCTCTTCCGGCTACGCTCGCAGAACACATAGGACGCCAGGGTTACGTGTACGTTACATATGCAGAGGCATGATTTCCTGGAGCGCGTACATGTACAAGTGCGATGATGGTTGGGGGGAAAAAAAAAAATGGGATCAGAGACGCGAGGTACTGCCAATCTAGGCGTCGTTAACACACCGCCATGCCAAGCCCCGGATTTCTCCCAATCCCAGAACCTTGCCCGAGTGAATCATGCAATTAGAGGGCGACCAGAGAGCTCGGAAAGTCGTTCTTCAGGGTCTCCATTGTCCCGAGAGTTCGGGTGGCTATGTACACGAAGGGATACGGAGTCGTTGGTCGACGTGCTCATTCGAGACGTGCACGAGTATACACACGGCTGCTAGGTATATGAGATAACACGAGACACCCATGCTCCATCATGCGCAACGACAGTCGTGGACCTTGAAGTCGCAACGTGAGAACAGAGGGGGAACTAGATGTAGCCGAAAAATTGCTCGTGAATGACGCTGGATTGAGGAGGGAGCGGAGAGGAAGACAAGGGTCCTGCGGTGGCGGGCGAGGGTGGACGTGGAGGTGGGTACGGGAGGGGACAAGGAGGCGGCAGAGCGTTAATACTGTTATTATTGTGCTCGTAGTAGATCCCGGTGTCGCAGGCAGCGGGAGGTGTCGGTGGTCGGTAGGGATGGTAGGGTGGAAGGTAGAGATCCGACACCATTTCTACGGGCTACAACCAACACCGAAGAGTTACCGCACAAGAGTCGCTGGAAATTCCACTTAAGCATTCGCATAAAATCGTCGCAATGCCGCGGGATTCATTAAAACACAGACACGCGGACACACCCCGTCACCCCGGACTTACCGTGAGAGCGCAACCTAGGGCGAAATTCGCGAGTACGTTCGAATAGAGCGAAGCTTCTTCGGGGGGCTTACCTTGGTCTGACTCATCCACAGGGAACCCTGCTGCTGGCGGTCGATGAGCTCTCTGAGCTTCCTGTACCAAGCCTCGGGCGCGGTCAAGGTGATCACAGCGCTGAAGATGTGGCCCCAGATCTTGTCGAGCTTCTGGCACTGCTCCAGCAATTTTTTACTGCTCTTGTGCGCCGACCTGCAAAGGGGAAATTTCGACCAATTGCTCGGGGATGACCTTCGCCAAGCTCCGGGGAATTCACTGGACGCTTACTTGGGAATGCCCGCTCGCATCTCCTTGATCACCTGCTTGGTCTCCGCCTTGAGGAAGATGACGATGGGGTAGAACTGGGCGTAATTCAGTCGGTCCACGGCGTTGGGTGTTATGTCCAGGAGAGCATGCTTTCCCCTGTCCATGACTTCGCGGATGGCGCTTAATCGGATGATTCCCGAAGATTTGGTGCTCTTACCGCCGCCCTCCTCCAGCTGACTCTCCATCTCTGTGGGACGAGCACCATGAAGAGAGACCTCTTCGACCGAAAATTCCGATGAGGATTTTGTTATACTCACGCGGAGAGGTGAATTTGTCCGGGAAGTCTTTCAAGAGCTTCTCCCTGGCGAGGTCGGCGACGGGGCCGAAGAGAACTACGGGTCTCACGAAGCCCGGATGTCGAAGAACGACACGCTCGTAAGCCGGAAACTTGCTGACGCTGTCGGAGAACACGACGTCGTCCCAATGGTCCTGAGGGAATTCGACCTTGACGTTAGGATCACCTCGAGGAAGATGCCGAGGTACAAACAGAAATTGCTCACCCTGCCCAAGGACTTGGACCTTCGATGGCTACCTCTTCTCCTCCTGAAGAAGCTCCCCCTGCTCTCGCTGGCACTCAACTCCTTCTTGGTCGCGTTGAATTGGGCAGTCGCCAATTCTTCGGCACGAGCTTTGTTCGGAATAATACCCTTCTGCACCTCCTGATTGTTCCTCCCGATCCTGAAAACCTGCCAGGAGCCGACGACCCCGTTGTGCAGGGTATCGACCACGTGAAAGACGTCTCCACTGCGAAAGCTCATTTCCCCCTTCTCCGGTTGCTCGTAATGGAAGTGCGTCCTGGAAAGTGCAACCCCATGAAGAAGATCCTGAAATATCCCCCTCCGGATAGATCGTCTTACTTTATGTGAAAGGAATCACCCCTGCCAGATGCGACGATCTGGTCGTACTCCTGCCTTCTGTGCTGCACGATGAGGTCGATCTGTTCCTGAAGACTCAGAAGAAAGAGAACGGCTTCCTCCCTCGTCACCCCTTTCATGTCCATGTCATTGACCTGGGGGTAAATAACCGCAAATTCCCGATTAATCCGAAGAGGACCCTCTTCCCGATGTCACTCACTTTAAGGATCTTGTCCCCCGGTTGCAGACCCTGAAGAGAAGCAGGACTTCCAGGCTGAACCGCGGTAACGAAGACTCCGGTCTCGTTTCCTCCGGTTAGCCGGACTCCGACGGATCCCTCTTTCTGGAACGTGATGAACCTAGGATCCGGCCTGAGGAATAAAAACCAATAACTCGAAGTTTGCCAAGTGTACTTCCCGGAGCTCCAGAAATCCGTCCCGAGACTCACATGGGTTGTTTCGTCCGCTGGATGAGGGGGTCCTCGTCGTAGAGCTGCCTTCTGGAGCTGTAGTAATCTGCGAAATAAAGGAAGATATCAGAAGTCGATGTCGAAGAGCCAGGTATCCGTATCAGGATGCATCGTTGACGCACCTTCCGGTCTAGGTGGGGGAGGTCTGGGAGGATCCACCGTCGGGGTAGCCGGCAGGTCCAGCTGGCTCAAGGACACGTCCATCAAGGGTCCTCGAGACCTTCCTCTAGGAGCGAGGTTGTTTTTATCTTCGGGAGGTTGCCTCGTAGGTGGAGGCACGTACAAATTCTGACTACTATAACTTGCTCCCGAAAGGAACTCGCCACTGTCGCCCTTGCTGGGCTGTCGAGCATGGCAACTCCCAAGGGACCCAGGAGGATCTCTGGTAACGACTATCGACAATCGATCCTTGCACTGGTCCATTAGCTTCCTGGCCTCCTTCAGGCTCATGTTATCCGCGGCCACCCCGCCGATGCGCGTCAAGGAGTCCCCTGGCTTCACCCCCGTCCCTTCCCTGGTCACCTCTCGAACGTACAGGCGACATCCCAGGACAATCCCGAAATCTGGACAAAGAAGGACCCGATGAATCACCCGCGACCTCCAAGTCGCAAGACTCCCAAAGGACATCCGCCGAGTCCCTTACCGTCTTTCTTGCTGCTCCTGGTCAAGGTAAGTCGATGGCTCTGCGGGACGGCGTTTCCAGGTGACCCCGAGGAACTCGTGGCGGCTCTCCTCTTCACCACCAGGAGGACCGTGGACCCGGAATCCCGCAGGACCCGGACAGCAGCCCCGTAATCGGCGCCCTCCAGGGACACCCCATTAGCGGAGATGATGCGGTCGTTCACTCTGCAAGGAAAAACGTCGGACTAGATATTCCTAGGGCTAGAGATCGAAGGTACCGGTCCCTGTAGAGGTCTTCAGGGTCTCCAAGAGGACCGAGGAACACACGGAAAATAAGACACTTCCCTTTTAGCAAAGGAATCCTGGTAATTCTCTTACTGCAGAAACGATCGCAAGAATAGCAATAATGCTTGTAATCATATCGGTGCATGCAATTGTATCACTGTTAATTAATTTTCTGTACTCACTGCAGTTTTCCCTCCGCTGGTCCCGCCTTCAGCACATCGGAGATGGCGATCGCGGGGTCCCCGTTGGTGAAGTGAGGGTTGTCTCGACCTCCGGAAACGGCGATACCGAATCCATATCCGGGCACCCTGGTCACCGTCACGTGGTGCACCTCCCATCCCCTGTCGCCCACCTGCAAATGGACATTACGTTTAATAAAGAGGTAGTTCATCGATAGAAAGTGCACTGAAAAAGGAAAAACAGAATTCGTTAAACCAGAGAAATATTTCTTTGAACGGTACTAAAGAAATGTTTGGTTAATTGGTTGCAACGTTCCTCTTCGGAATGACGCCAATTAAATTTGAGTTAAGTAATTATTCTTCGAATTAACCAAATATATCTTTGGCACCACGAACCCTTTTTTCTCAGGGAGAGTTGACGCAACGAGTCGGCAAGGACGCGGCAAGGCAACCCGTCCGGTTGCTACCGGAAGCCTCGCCGAGCTCTGCCACCCTCCACCCACGTGGAGCCACGACAGAGGAAATCCTACTCGCGGCGGTAATCCCGCGGAAACCTTTGAGCGGAAGCTCATTTCCTCGGGGAGAAAAAAAAATAAGAAAAGATCGGGGAAAACATTCGGCGAGGGGATCTCCAAGATGATCAGCATCGCAGGAGTCGCGCAACAGGTGAATGCTGTGTGAACCTGGAATCCAGTTCGAGGCACAAACAGAATTAACAGGCTTATTGGCATTGTTTCTGTGACGTAGACGTTTGTGCCATGTTGAGTCTTGAGCCTCCCAGAACCTCGGAGACGTTAAAATGACCATTTACAAGATTTCTTTTCCATTAACACCGTTTCTGCCTGAAACTGAATTCCAGATTTACACAGCCGATGCAACCACGTGCACTTCCGATTTTCGCTCTCAAGCCCGGAAGTGAGGTAACTCTTTTCCTGCTTGAAGACACTTGGTCAGGTGTTTAGTCAACATGAGAAACCTCCAAATGACCGTCCTCTCTTGCGGGTAAAAATTGAAGAATTTAATAAGCGAAGGGGATATTCTCAAAATGATTAGCTCAACGCCGCGCAACAGGTGACTGCAACCACCTGTTGCGCTCCAAGGGTGCGTTTCCGATTTTCGCCCTGGCGACCGGAAGTGGGACGTCCTTTTCCTTGCCCGATGAGCTCGGGTGTTCGGTCACTAAATTCCGGAGACTCTGTCGTCGCTTCCACGAGGAAGACCGCCAAAAATGGTCCTGAAGGAAGGCGCGAGAGCCGATCGGCGACTCCAGATCCAGCGGATAAGCATCGGAACCGCAATGAAACCGCACTCGAAGTGCGCTTTCCGCGTCCACCGATCTACCGCTAATCGAATGCACCTTTTTTTTTCCCCCTTTCTCCCCATTATATGACCCCCTCTCCCGAGGGCAACCGGTTTCAACTCTCCAGCAAAGCACGCCGGCTTTCAGAGGAACCGATTCGCGCGTCTATTTCGCCAAGGACTTTTCGTTCTGCGACGTAGCGAATCGGCCAACGAGATAAAAAGGAAACTAACGAGACCTCAGCGACGCGTTTCTCTCGCTGGACTTCCTTCTCTAAATCGACCGTGACCGCCCGATAGCCAGGAATCGGCAGAACCACTTTCGATCTCGATCTCGGGAGGAAATCCACCCCCCTGCTCTCTTACGCCGCTGCAAGTGCAAGCCATGGCATTGTTTAAAGAAATCAACCTCGCGACGTACGCGTCGGAAAAAAGGAAACATTTCCCAAGCGATTCCCTACTTGGTGAGGAAAAATGGCCGCGGAGCCCGGCGAGCTGGCTTATGAGGCCGCGCCTTGTAATGGCACCGCGATTACCATCGATATTAATATTCAACTAATTTATGCGAATCCCACCGAAGACCTTGGAGGATCCTCGGAATCGCAGGAAGTCGCGATGGGTCCCGATGGAAATGCGAATGGGCCACAGAGGAAGAAAGAAAAAGACATTTGTGCCATCAGCAAAGGAGAGAATTGCTGACAAGGTTCCGCCCTTATTAAAAAAATGATCGATCGATGCTCAGCGATTCGGGCGGTACGTCAGTGAGTATTTCAGGTTTATATAGAATGGAGAAGAATTAAAAAATATAATAATCATATTTCCTCGGCAACGGGGAGGTAGAAAGAGAAAGAGAAATCGGAGGGTCCGAAGAAAGCAGAACCGCCTTCGGGCCACTCTCGTACGTGGACATTGGAGTGATTAGGGAGGTCTCTCTCTCGCGCTTTCTTCCACCGGTGGACTAGGTCGACGGAGGTATATTCTAGTTTCACGGTGTCCCCGCAAAGTGCAGGTGCAGTTGGGAGACAAGGGGATCCCCTCGTCGCGAGGTGCAACGTCGACATTCCGACGTGTCGAAATCGAGACCGCGTCGAGCCGAGCATGGACGCGACCTTCGGAGGTGATAAAACACCTCCATGTATGCAGAAGGGAAGGAAAATGACGAATCAACTAAAAGACCCAAACGTCCCGAGCAAATAGACCTCTCAATTGTGCCCATAATTATGAAAGTGGTCTAAGTCAAAATTAAAAAAAAAAAATGAGTTTATCAGTTATTTCACGCCACATTATGTCAAACTAAATTAATTCAATGTAATTTCGAAACAAAAAATATATGACTTAGACCATTTTCATAATTATGGGCACAATTGACATAAGATTTAAGGCGACACGAAAGATGTCCCGTTTCCGAAACTTCTCCGGACCGGAATGTACCGAGTCTCGTCAAACCGTACATGAACCCAGAGTCCACAAGGAAGGTCCTGACAACCATGAGATATGAATTTATAAAATCCGCTTGTACATAATTTGACAATTTTTTATCTTCACCTAGCAGATTTGCGAAACGATTCGAGTACGGAGAAAAGTTCACCGGATGTCACTTTCGTGTTCCCTTAAAAGGAGAGAGACAATTAAAAGGAAGAATTCATATTACGAGTATCGAGGGTGGACTTAAGGTTTTCGTCTTAGAGGTGACTCATGGGGGACATAAAGAGCGATTAGGACAGGTGGGCGATCCCCGGGACAGGTGAGAGAGCCAGGGTCCGGACCTCGGCTCGCAGCATCTCGATCCCTCGGTTGTCATTCCGGCGTCGCGACGCCGCTTACGCTCGGACACGGTCGAGTACGCCCGAGTACGACGCCCGGAGCGTAAAGAAAAGCCGCGATCCGCTCGGATTTTTAATCCGACGGCCGATTTCGTGCGGCCTTTCTCCGCGCGCGGATCTCTCTACGGTAATTCCCGCTACGAGCCTACCGGATTCCAGTCCCTCTCCGCGTCTCTCTCGCGCTGCCGGCGAGGCGGTTCGCTCTCGCTCTCTCTCGGCCGCGCGCCAACTGCGGCCATTCTGAAATATTCCACGGCGTGGCCGAGCCGAGCCGAGCCGAGCGGCACCTCCGAAGGAATGCCGAATGCCCGCGTGAGTCAAACCCCAGGAATTCGTCCTGGGCCGCGTCCTGGGGCGTCGGTGCGCGACCGGAAAAGCGCCGGCTCCTTCCCCTCTCTCGCTCCTACCAGTTAGCGCGCCCCTCTCTCCGTCTCTCTTTCTCTCCCTCTCGGCCTGTCGCAACCGAGCCCGACGATTTCGTGGGCCCGATTCCCCGAAGACGCGGAAACGACTCGGATGAATTTCGCCGTTCCCCGCGTGCCACCGACCAGGTAGGGAGGAATCGAGCGAACGATGAGAAAAGGGCCTTAGGGCCCGATTAATTGGGTCCTATCGCGACAGGTCCCGAGGAGACCCAAGGAGACCTGCGGGCACCCGCAGGTCTTTTCAGGGTCCTTTTGGAACCTCTTTGAGGGGTCTTATGGGGTCCCATTGGGTCCTCCCGTACCTGAGGCTCCAGGTTCAGGTGCGTCCCGCGCGTGGCCGCGTCCGGATCGGGCCCCGCACCAGGGGCCAGTCCCGGGCCCCCGCCGCCCCCCTCGCTGCGATCCATGCTCGTCTCCGAGGGGCCTTACTCCTCCATGCGCCGACGTCCTCCTAGAAGACCCACTCTCCCTCTCTGTCCCTCTCCAAGGGGGTCGCGTCAGCTTCGGGCCCAGGGCGGAGGCGCGCGTCTCGGGCGTCGGGTCGCCGCAGCGACGCCCATCGCCATGGTAACGAGCGACCACGTGGCCCTCCGGACCCGACGCGGAACCTACGTAGGTACTTTCCGGAGGAAGAAACGCACGGATCCCGGGGCGCAGCCTCCGCGGAATTCACTCGCGGGGTCCGCTCTCTCGGGCGCCGAGACTCTGGGCCCTCTCTCGCCGCGATTACTCGGCGATAACTTCGCGATAACTTCCCGATAACTCGGCGATAACTCGCGGGCGACTCGCGGACGACTCGCGGGACGGGCCTCCAGCCTCGCTGGCTCGCTCGCGCGGGAGGAACGGGCCGGGAGGGCCGCGGGGCTCGGCTAGCAGCGGCCAGCGCCGACACCGGTTTGCGCCAATCCGGGGCCTGCTGCGGCTGGCCGCCCGCTCGGGCCCGACTAGTTGGCGAGACTGCGGCCAGAGGTCGACCCTCGAGGCCTTCGCATCGTGCAGCACGGACGCGAGAGGAGAAAGAGAGAGAGAGAGAGAGATGCGGCGACAGAGGGGCCCACCGGGCCCACCAGGCCCACCAGGCCCACCAGGCCCCCCGGGCCCCGGGGACGCTTCCCCTGGAGGACACGGCCTCCGGAATACGAATTCCTCTCGTTTCGCCTGTTTTCGGACCGACGCAAATTCGACTCCGAACGGGTCGGGGCCCTAACGGCCCTCGAGATATCGGAAGCCGAAAGCGGTCGGGCCCGGCCCGACCTGGGGCGTGGCCCTTGGGCCCCGACATCCACCTTGACGGATCGGGATAATTTCATTTCCTCGTCTTCTCCCTCTGACGTTTCAACTCGATATCCCATTAATGAGGAAATACTTCGATAATTTCAAGAATAAATACTTGACTCAGATCAATTGTCACAATTCCGAATAAACGTTCCATTTATTCCAGATCATTCGAGAGTGATAATTAATCTTGGAATTGATAAAATATTCCGCATTTTCGCAAATCTCTTCTGTTTCCAGAGTGCGGACCGCGAGTTTTCCATTGGTCTCTCCGCATTCTCGCCCGCGTAGTTGACGCAACGTCCTCTGGCCTCTCCGCGGAGAAAGACGCGACTGCGGGGGCGCGTCCGCAGGAATCCGAGGTTTCGCATTTTTTTTTTTTTTTCCCCTCCTCCCTCCTGCACCTTTTTCCCTCCTTAAGGTGCGTGGCGCACGTTACGCGAGGGTCCAAGGTGCGTACGACGCGGTACGTGTGACACCACGGATCCGTAGGTGGTTCCGCGAGTGTGCCCACGGAGCAGAAAACGCGTAGCCCACGCCGCAGCGGATTCCTCGGGAGGAAAGCGACGACCGAGCCGCTCGTTAGTCGAATTTCAAGGCGGGGGAGAAAAACGGGAAAAGGGAGGGATCGAAAAATGCAAATAACGAGGCCGTTGTTCCGGTTACGGCCGCGCCGGGGAAGGGCCGAGGTGTACAGTGCACCCGGTGGGTGCATCCACTGTACACCTATCCGCACACCGACGGTACTGTACACGGTAAGAGTAAAATCGGGTTACTGGGTATCGACGCGTCCAGCCCGATTAAAGAAGCCAAAGTCCGAGGAGAGGCCACCAACCCCGCGTTCCGCGTCCGATTTCCGCGATCCGCCCTCCGAAATCGGAGCGGCTCCGTCGATTATCGATTTCATATGAATTTTTTCGCCCACGAATAGACTCGCACGAAAAGAAAAAAAAAACATGTCCCATTGTTGCAAAATCGCTTCATCGGTCAACATTGGAAGTCACACGCGAAGCTGTCAATTTTGCGTGCAAAACTTGATCATGCGAATTTTTTCGCCCACGAATAAATTCGCATAAAAAGAAATTCCGCAATCTTGCGATATCGCTTCGTCGGTCAACATTTTAAAGTCTCGCACGAGGCTGTCAAAATATCCCATGCGAAAGTTGACAGGACCACGAAGCTGTCAATTTTTCGTGCAAAACTTGATCATGCGAATTTTTTCACCCAGGAACAGATTCTCATGAGACAAAATCCCCCAATCTTGCGAAATCCCTTCGTCGGTCAACATTTTAAAGTCTCGCACAAAGCTGTCAAAATATCCCATGCGAAAGTTGACAGGCCCAACTGGAGAATCGGATCCCCAGGATCGATTTCGCGCGTCACATCTCGCGCGAGGGCGCTCCGGGGGGCCCTTTTAAAATTTAAAGGGACCGTCGAACGAGTTTGACCGCTCGGCCTCTCGAGCGACCCTGGAGGCTGCAGCGCCGTCCCCCACCGCGAGGAGTCCCCCCAGAGGGGGAGGTAAAATAAATTGCCGCGCTCTTACGCGGTACCTAGACCGCGCACCGAGGCTCTCCAGATGGAGGGGCGGGGGGAGGGGGGCCGCAATTACTCGCGCACTTGCGCTCAAGTCCTGACGCATTCCGTTCCAGTTCCACGGAACGAGCACCCGGTTCGAGAGCTCGAACACGAGGTGGCAGCTGTCCGGACCCCGGACGGCCTGCATTAGCATACCGTGCATACTTTACGACAGGTAATCGGCGCGCTTTATTGCGCGGCGATTGCGCGATAGGTACCCTCGCGAATCCGGAGGATCCGCGACATAGACGCCCAGGGGAATGGGTCCTGGGTCCCCGAGGTTGATACGATCAACTTCCGCGGACGGGACTGACCGTCTCGAAGGAGAGTTCCAAATGCCGCCCAATGACGCGTGCTCCGCAACAATGGGGCATTTTTTAAGGGAGGTTTTTCTCGGGGCGGTTTTGCGCGTATCCTGGGGCTCTCGGTACTTCTTGCCAAGTCGAAGGACCGAGAAGAGGGATTTCGCCGGTCGCTAATTTCCTGCGGGACCCTGAAGAGGGGAGGACTCGAGGTGCGGACCCTCCCCTAGACTGGATGCGACGCGATAATTGATAATTAGGCACACCTCCCGGTCAGGTATTCCGGGGTTCCTCGGGATTTAAGGCCGGGACAAGGGCAGGGGCAAGGACGAGGACCGGGGCCCTCGGGGAGGGACGAGGCTTTCTAAAAAGAGGCGAGGAGTCGAGCTGCATTCCTTCATCTCCTCCCTTCCCTGCCTGGTCGTTCCTCCGGTCCCCGTTCCTCGTTCCCTGTTCCCCGGTCCCGGTGCGCGGCGCTTCTTGCTCGTATGGGCCCCGTCCGGGATCGTCCCTCCCCTCCGATTCCGCCCCGGCTCGGCCGCAACGGGTGCGGCTCCTCCGCGAAGACGGCCGCGGGGTTGCGGTAGGTCACAGTCGGCTGGCGCTCGCCGAAGTCGGTGTCAAGGTCGGAAACTCGCTCCAGGAGGGAACCCCCTCGTGGGAACCGTCCCGGGAAGGCGGTTTCCGGCTGACGCGGCGGTTCCGCGCCGCCACCCGGCGGGTTAAACGCCCCGTGCACGCCCCGATAAGCGTCTTCTATCAAAGTACACCAAATTTCAACGGGGAGACCTCTGTCCAAAGATCCCACGAAAAAGTGGGCGTCTCGTCCTCCCTGGATCTAGAAATAAACCGATTGTGGCCCCCCCCTGATAACGCGCGATTGAAATACAGGCGCTCGCTTCAAACACGACACGGACTATGAATAATCTCAACTTTTTAAGGTAATACCAAAGTGGCAGCAAAGATGTCTTCTTTATGACACTTTTCTCCAAACCAGGTGTACCAAATCATTTCAAACTCTACAACGTGAACGTACATACTGTAAAGAAAGTCCTAACACTCATGAAACTTGAATTTTCAAAAAAATTGTTTATAGACATTTCAGAGATCCTTGATAAATATTTATCATTCACGAGGGTCGGAACATTCCTTTTATCCTCCGGATTTAAATATTAAAATCTGAAAACGATTCGGTACGCCCAGTTCGGAGGAAAGTGTCGATTGGCCCCTCGGATGTAACTTTTGCACCCCCTTAATAGATTTTCTTTTTTTTTTTATTGCAAATTCGTCGCGTCTCCCCCGCGTCGTACCCTGTGTCTCCGCCTGAGCCTCTTCGTGGTACCGACGGGATCCCCGAAGAGGAAGTCGTCTCTCGGTACCCGATTGGAGCGACTCCTCGGGGCAGACCTCTTGCTCGAGGTGGACTTCTTCGACCTCTTCGGCTTGCGGTGCCGCTCCTTCGCCCTGAAGAGCCTCCCGAAGAGCTTCATGGTCCTCCTCGGGGACGCGGCCACCACTTTGGCCGATGGACGGGGAACCACTAGGTCGCACTTGGAGCAGCGTCGGGACGTGCGTAACCGGGCACGTGGACAAGTGGCGCACGCGTGTCGCATCGGCGACGCTTTCCGGAACGGGGGCGGATCCGGAGGTTTATCGCGACACGGGCGACACGTCACCCACCACCCACCGGATCATCGGATTAGACCTCGCAGGGATCCGCAAGCCGACGTCCTAACGTTCATCTAGGTGGTCCGACTTCTCGTTTCGGAAAAAGAAATGTACATACTCCGGTATAACGCTATTCCCCGGAGAACGCGGCAAATAACGAGACGCATTATGCACGTTACACGGAAGTCTACTGTACATAACACATATACCTAGATATACGTAAAGTATGTATACAGAGTCTCTCAGACCTCTAACAAGAAACACACGACAGTCTCTATTTAATTCCGCAAAAGGACTATCCCACGCAAACTAGAATCCGAGTTGTAGCTTCAAAAGTGTAATAGTTCATTAAATGCATATATGATATGATAAGTAATAAATAAAAATCCCCGGAATAATGATATCCGGCGGAGTCGGGACGTAATGGCACGCCACGAGGACTGGTCGGCTCCCGGGTGGGTTCTTGGCCCGCTTTTTATGGAGAACTCTCGTGGAATGGCCGTAACTCGGTCAAGTCGAGGATCTCTAACTCCCGGAGCTTACGTAAAAAGTAAGGCGGAAGCCCTCTGCTCGGTGGCGCACTGGTACAAACTCGAGGCTCCAGTGGCACCGGGTATCGATTCGACGGATTCGACGTCGGTCGAACCCTTCCGCGGAATACGTAGATCGTGGAGGGACGCCCGGCGTCGTGACGTCGAGTTAAGCGAGCAGAGGGGACGCCGGATTAGAAGCCCTACTGCCGGGTTTACACCCTCGACGCCGAGAAGCGGTTTCGTGTGCGCGTCCCCACGTGGTCCGCACACGTCTAACTCCTCTTCCTGATCGCCTCTTCAGGGTTACAAGCGACTCGAGGGAGTTCCTCTTCCGCGACTTTTTCCGTCTTCTCCTTGAATTGCGTCGAAACTCCCGTCGGGATGACAGAGAAACTCAGTCCCGAGGTTTTGCCGAACGACTGCCGAAGATATCGGAAGAGGTACTCGAAGAGGGAGTCGATGAGCAGGGACCGTCGATCGCTAAAAAATTGAGCACTCTGTTATCCTTCGTTAGTTATCCCGCTCGAGCGAATCTACGTAGACAACCATGTAGTACCGACCGCAGGTAACCAAGGGATTGGTCGGTAAGAGGATTCTTCGGGGTAAGCCGAGTACTCCGGGTATTCGGAAAGTACTCGAAGACTGCAAACGAGGTGAATCCGGTCGGTAAATGCTCCCACGTCTAACGACCTGTAGAGATCTTCCCCAGATGGCGATGCCCAACATTTCTTCGGCATCGAGACTAGGATACTTCTTGAATGACGTTTCATGAAGTAATCGGTATAATTCATATTTCTCTTTTTTTGTATTTTTTTTTTCTCCTCCATTTACCCCGCATAGTAATCCATCGGTCTCCATTCTACGCAACCTCGGAAATACATCCTAAGGACCGTTTGAATATCATCCCCACGAGGACAGGATACTTGAAGAGGCCACGTGCTCCGCCACATTATGCACGCTCATTAATCCCATTGATTTTCACTGACGATGTCAGTGACTTTCCACGGTTCCTTGACATTGTCGTACCAACTTTTACGCCAATCGTCGGAGGTATCGCTTATCTGCCTATCCGCGTCATCGGTGTTTGGTGAACGCGTAAGAATAGCGGTGGAAATCACAAGCGAGGCATACACATGCCTTGCTGAAGAGGAGGATTTTATAATAGAAACGTGAATGCCGTAAACACTTATGAAAAATCCCGGTGCGATGGTAAACAATTGGGAGAAATGGCGAGTCGCAAAATGTCGCTTTAAAAAAAAACTTGAAAAAATCAGGAAAAAGGAGAAATCCCGACGAAGTCGGGATAAAAAATCGTGAAAACTCACCGGCTCGTCGACGGGCTCGTCGAGGACCTCGAGGATGGGGTCGGCAGTGGTGCGAGCGAAACTCGCTCGACAGGGTCGATGATTTGGCGGGGGTGGAGGCGGTGTAGAAGAGGGTGCAGGAGAAATAGAGCTGGCCCTGGGGCACTCTTCGATGCCTCCGGAGCTGCTGCACCTCCTGGACTCCAGGTCCTGGCTGGAAAAAAAAAAGGAAACACTCCCATTAATCAAAAGAACCTCTCTCTCTCTTAGCAGCAAAGAGCGACAATTTCGAGGATTTTTCTTTTTAATAAGGAACCCGAAACAATGCCAGCCACGCCAGGGATTTCCTAGGGACTCTAGACTAGAGCGATTAGACAGCCGCATTTCACCGCTTCGATTATTAAGAAATAGGGATTGCGGCATTGTCGCATTTTTTTTTCTTTTTTAAGAACCCAAGACAATGCTAGCCTCACCAGAGCGTGGATTTTCTAACGATTTTAAACGAGAGCGATTAGATAGCCGAATTTCCCCGGTTCGAATATTAAAAGATAGCGATTGCGGCATTCTCGGATTTTTCAAGAGCCCTAAACAATGCTAGCCTCGGTAGAGCGTCGATTACCTAGGTATTCTAGACGAGGTTGATTAGATAGCCGAATTTCGCCGCCGGTCTCCCTCCAGCTGTAGGAGGAGGTGCCTTGGGAGGAGAAAGAAAAAAAACTGTGTGCCAGGCAAATCTGCCAGTTAACTCGATAAGATTAACGGCTCTATCTACGTGTCCCTTGTTGCGTGTACGCACGACGTATCTTCACGAGTACATAGACGTGAGATTTCGGCCGATCCGACCGATAGGACGGGGTCCGAGAGACGTACAGTCGGCGTGCGTCACCTCCCTCGGACGATCGGAACGTTTTTTTTCCCCTGAGACGGATCAACAGGTGCACCTAGCAAAAGCCCTCGTCAGCGTCCAGGTAACACGCCGGTGTACGTACCACCGGAGGCTCTTACCTCGCGCGGTCGCAATTACCCCATAAATCCTAATCTGGAATTAATTACGTCGCGTTAAGCCGCGATTCGAGGTCGTCGGAAGCGTAAAATTAGCACTCATCGGATTGTCCAAACACTCGGTTGACACTTCTGGCCCCGGTGGCGGAGTCACATCGGGACACGTAGTCAATTAATCCGACCGGATGACGTCCAAACACCGAGCAAGCGTCGCGACGCACATTTTAGGCCCGTCGACACAGCTGGCTTCGACGAGCAGGAATACCCCCCGCGAAGATCCGGCCTTACGATCGGATAATAGTCTTTTCAAGTCCCTTAGATTTTCTGCCCACTTCTGAAAAGTCCAAAGGGGGGAAAGGGAGAGAAAAAATAATCTCTCAGAGAATTCCGACGACGCTTTCCCTCCGGGGAGCGTTATCGAGGGCGTTGGCATGGAAAAACAGAACGCAGTCCTGATAAGTATCGATTTATCATCGCTCGAATCCCCGGGATCGACGATAAACCTCTCCGCCGGTTTAACCCCGTGCACTCTCTCCAAAACATTGTCGGATTAAGCTGTCAGGCGAGGAATAAGAAAAAGAAAAGAAATAAGAAAGAAAAATTCAGAAATTAAAAAATACAAAGCGAGCCCGGACGATGAACGCGCCGATATCCGCCGCGGTTCTTGGAGGCTGCGGAGGGGACGCGGTTTGATTCCACAATTTCCTTTTTATATATTTATACATCTATGTCGTAGCCAGATAGTGAAGCGCCTAGTCGCTTTATAAAACGCGTCGGTGACGCTTCATCCGGACATTCCTCTGGACGTATCTGGTCGCAGAATTTTGTAATAAGAATGCATATTTTTTTGAGGCAACCAACACTTTTTTTTTTCCTCCGCATACTCGCATTACAAAATAATCGACCGAATTGTCACGTAAAGCCAAGTGAACGAAAATTAGACCATCAGGTCGCGTTTAAAAAAAAAAAGAAAAAAACGACGAGGCGTTTTACAAAACGCCGGATCTTACAATCTGGCTGTGACGTATCTAAACATGCGTTTTCGCACCTAGCTGACCAGGTCGAGTGGTCAAGTCGGAATCGAGGGATCAGAAATCGCGATAATCGGGCGCGATCCGAGAAACGCATCTATCCCGCGTGCGACAGCCGCGTCGCCTCCGCCGCCGCCGCCGCGGCGCAGACGAGCGGATTTCGCTTGGGTATAAATCATCGAGATAAGGCGAGACGCGATCGGACGGAAGACTCCGCCTGTACAAAGATGCACTTCGTCCTCAAACAAAAGAGAGCGGTTCCCGGGGGTAGTCGCGGGTAGTCGGTCGATTCCGCCGATCGACGTCGAATCGGCGTCCCGACGGTCTTGGGCGTCTGAGAGATGGAGGTGTACCGCGACGTTGCAGACTCGAGGAGTGCCTCGTCGATTCCGTCAGCGGCCGACGCGGGGCCGGAAGGCCGGAACGTCGCCAGGGCGGCGGAGCCACCGACGGAGTCGAAGAACCCCGAAGACCGGAGGCCTCCCAAGATGGCCACCACCAGGGCGATGCTGGACCACAACGGCCACCCCTCGCAGCCGGATCAACCTGGCAGGAAGCTCTTCCAAGGCCTCGCCACCCTCAGCGGTGAGTTGACGAAGAGACCAAGCAGTCTCCTCGGAAGAACAGTAACCTGGAGTTGCCATTTTCGCGGCGGCTTTACGGCATGTACTCGCGGGATTCGATAACGACGTCCACCTCCCAACCTTCGGGAAAGTTTCCACTCTCCCGGAGAGTGCTCCCGATGTCTCTCCCCGAAAATCCGATGCATCTCCCTGCAACGCGCACCGAGGAAAAAAACAATTGTTCTATTCCTTTCGGGCAGACAGGCTTAAAAAATAAAAACTGTCTTATTCGAGTCGAAGCCAAAGAATTCCTTCCCCGCAATTCGAACGGTTATCCTGAAGCCGGGCCCTCTTTCAGTGGGACTGGTGGCGATGCAGGCAGGGATGAAGCTGGGCTGGACATCGCCGACCTTGCCGTACCTGGCGTCGGAGGAGTCCTTCCTGGGCGGTCTATCCGAGGACGAGGCGTCCTGGATCTCCTCCCTGATGCCACTGGGTGCAGTGGTAGGTGCAGTCCCGGCAGGCAAGGTGGCGGACAGGATCGGCAGGAAGGCATCCATCGGCGCCACCGCCATCCCGTTCCTGGCGTCCTGGACGACGTTGTTGCTTGCCAGCAACGTAGGGGCGATCTACGCGGCGCGTTTCATGGGAGGGCTGGGAGCAGGGGCGGCCTGCGTCCTGGTGCCGGTGTACATCGGGGAGATCGCCGAGCCCAGCATCCGGGGAGCCCTGGGGGCGTGCTTCCCGCTGCTCTTCTCGACCGGCATCGTCCTGAGCTACGCGATCGGCGGCTACGCGAGCTACGTCACCTTCAACCTCTGCTGCGTGCTGTCGCTGGTGCCCTTCCTGGCGAGTCTGCCGCTGCTCCCGGAGTCGCCGATGTGGCTGGTGCACCAGGGTCTGAAACCAGAGGCCAGCCGAGCCCTGGAGCTGCTCCGAGGTCTGAGCTACGACACGAAGAGGGAGATCGCCGAGCTGCAGGCCGAGGCGGACGAGCTGGAGAACAAACGCGGGGGGATCCGCGACCTGGCGGGGACCAGGGCGGGTCGCAGGGCCATAATCGCCTGTCTGGGTCTTATGTGGTTCCAACAGATGTCGGGGGTGGACGCGATCCTCTTCTACACGGTGGACATTTTCAGGAACGCGGAGAGCACCGTAGACCCGGTGCTGGCGACCGTCATCGTGGGGCTCATCGAGGTCGTCATGACCCTGGTGGTGGCGGCGGTGATCGACCGTTTCGGCCGCAAGCCGCTGCTCACGGCATCCGGGGCCTGCATGGCGGTTTGCCTGGGTGCCCTGGGATACTACTTCAAGCTGCAGGCCGATGGCGTGGACGTGCGACCTCTGGGCTGGATGCCCCTGGTCTGCGTGTCGCTCTTCAACGTCGTCTTCTCCCTGGGATATGGGGCGGTGCCGTTCACCGTCATCAGCGAGCTCTTCCCCCCGGAGACCAAGGGCATCGCCACCAGCGCCTCCATCATGCTCCACTGGACCTTGGTCTTCGCGGTGACCAAGCTCTTCCCGGCGACTATCGGCCTCCTCGGGGAAGGCATCACATTCTGGGGCTTCTCGGGGCTGACCGCGCTGTCGGCGCTCTTCGCCTTCTTCGTCGTTCCCGAGACCAAGGGCAAGTCGCTCAGGGAGATCCAGATGAAGCTGCACAGGAAGAAGGGCCGCGACAAGGCGCCGACGCTGCCCATGGACCCGGCCTGATGGGCGCCTGAACCCACGTGGACCCATCCCTCCTCACCCCGGTTACGTTCAATTTTTATCTCCTTCCGAAGCCGAGGACGTGCACCCACGATGACGACGCGATCGCAATGACGATACCACCGCGATGACGATACCGATTCGGATCGCCCGATATCGACGACCGGCACCCCATCGGGCCATTCTCGGGTCGGGTAATTCGATTACCCTGAGACGCGTTGCGGCTTTGCCGGGCCTTCCAGTAGGGCTTTCCCGGCACGCGATACATTCCGGATTACTCAGATCGGGAGAGGAGGCTTCCGGAGAGCGCGTCAATTAAGAGCGCGATCTCGAAGCCTCCCAATGTTGCCTCGAATTAATTGCCGGATCGACCGCTCCCGTTTCTTCCTCTCATCTCGAGCTGAGAATGAACCCTTAAGGCGATGCGATAGCGATATCAAAGAGGCCTCGTTTATGAAACTTTCCCCAAAGCGAGCATATCGAATCGTTCCAAACTTTACAACGCGAATACGGAGACTATGAAGAAGGTCCCTAACCCCATAAAATTCCATTTTTTACAGAACAAATTTAAAATATCCATATACGAGAAAAAAATAATTCCACGGGAGTCAGGACCTTCCTTATAGCCTGCATATTCACGTAATAGAACTTCAAACGATTCGCAATTCAGAAAAGAGAAGTTTCATAAACGGGGTACCTCCTTCTATTTTCACGTTGCCTTAACCCATTGGCCCCTAAAAGCGCCTAAAGACGTCCGACGTTAGGTCCAATATTGCCTGCACGGTTTGACGAATTTCGCTCGTATGTCTAAAGGGCTCCGTATTAAAAGAGTAAAAAAAAAAAATCAGAAAAGGATGGAAGCGATGTCTGCATCTCACCATGGAGTACGGGGTGTGTACGGCGAGTGGGAAGACGAAGTCCTGGGCCTGGAGATCCCGGAGGAGGCGACGCGACAGAGGCCGTCGAGAGGGACGAAATATCCTAGCTGCGCCGAGAGGGGCAACCCGGAGTACCCGGCGCCGTCGTAGAGGTACCTTCTGGTGGCCGAGTACATCACCACGGCCACCGAGTCCCTCGGGACCCCTTCCAGGAGGGCTACCCGATCCAGGCGACCTGGGGATCCCCCCTACCTCGGCCTGCGGCCCTTCCGCGGCGTTCCCCGCTCGATCGGCGGATCATCGAGTCCTTCCCGCCGATCGGGCCCCGGTTCCCGCGGGATCACCGGTGGATTATTTCGGGACTACTCCAGAATTACCCGCGCCGGTTCCGGTCCATTTTCGGCCGCTCACTTTGCGAGGACGGAGAGCGCTCAGCGGAGGAATAAACCCGCAACGAGATTCCGCGAGATGCCGAGGAGGTACTCCCGGTGTCGCGGCTCGAAATACAAAACTGAATATCAATTCCTTCCCCTCCTTTTCTGTTTCTTTTTTTTTTTTTTCTCACATCTCGCGACCACTTTTTACAGCAAAGAGTGAGATTTCCGATTTGAAGGTAATTTATAAATGTACAAACGTGTAAGCAATCGAGTTACGGGGTCGTTAATTTTCCGTGGGACCCCCTGAAGAGGGAGGGTCTTAGAGGCCGGTCGGCGGCGCACCGGGAAACGAGTGCGGAGAGAGCGTCGCGACGCGCGCGCCGCGCGTTACCAACGCGACTGGCCGGCGCGGTCGGTCCGCGCGGTGTGACGCTTCTCAAAATAACGACGCCGGGTGCCGCGACGCGCCGCGATCGACCGTTACCCTCGTGGCCCGGAAGGGAATCCGACGTCGCCTCTCCTCTCCGCCTGGACTCGTCTCGGCTTTCCCGCTCTCTCTCCCTCTTCTCTCCTCGTCCGTCACTTCCAATCCGCCGCTTCGTTAGCCAACCCCGCGCATTTGCCTCTAATTATCCCAATTGATAATCGATAATCCTGGCCGAAGCACCCCGAAGACGCTGTCGAAGACTCCGCGACAATTACCCGGAGCTCCGGTTCAAGAAGAACCCGACTCTGATTCAGGATGGTTGTCTCTCAATTCCTTGATTTTCAAGAATTTCACTTCCGGTAGAAGGAAGACCGCGATGCTGGTGAAATTTCATTGAGAAAAAAATTAATTAATTAATTAATTAATTCTTACTTATCCCAGATTAGAACCGAGGACACGGTTTTTTTTATAAAATTGAAATTTCGCGAGCGTCGCGCTTCTTCTTAAGCACTCCGTAATCAGACGCTGAAGTTTTCAACGATTCGGTGCATCCCGTTCGGAGAAGATTTTTATCAATATTTTAACGTTTTAATAAATGTATAAAGTGACCCTTTCGTAACACCTTAAGATACTCGCGCATCGTCGGGCTCGCCCGACCCTGACGGAGGAAATTTTCCCTTTCGGCGAGAGAAACGATCGTATATCAGAGCCTAGGACCCCAGCTGGGGTCACGAGGCGTGGAGGCGCAACTCGGTTAGCGGGTCTCCGACGTTCCCGAACGGGATATCCACGCCCTGGGGGCTCTCAAACAGCGAGTCGATCTCGGGTTGCATCCTGGAAATACTAGAAGAACCATGCCCGACCGTGTCGCCGACGGTGTCACGTGTCTGCCGCGAAAAAAAAAAAAAGAATTCAGTCCTAACGAGGAAGTTTACTCGCTTCGACTAACGCGAACGCCCAAAAATGGGCCAGTCAAAATTGTTATCCAAAACCATTTCCGTTAAAAAAAAAAATTAAATTAAATTAAATTAAAAAAGATTACCGAAATTTCATTCATAGTCGCAATATTCCTTCCTAACAACAAATTGTGCATCGCACATTTCCTGCAGGAGGGACAAGATTTTTTTTACCGTTGTCGGAAATTAATTAGCTAATGTAGACATAAAAAATCAGAGGAGAGGAGAGGAGAGAGCGAGACCCGATGAAAGGCCACCCAGAATTTCCAAAGAGTTGGCTGCTCACTCACCACTCTTTCCGGTCTTCGACCTCCTCTTCGAGGTCGTCCTTCCGGTCAGGCGTCTTCGACACGTCCCGAGGGAGGTCCCCATCGACCTCGGGGGGCGGTTCGCCAGATTCCTCGAGGTGGTCCTCGACCTCCTCCCCATCCTCCGGCTGGTTCCCTGTAAGTTAATCTCCTGTACAATCCCGAAGAGGAAGTTGGCAAGTCGCCAGGGAGGAGTCGGAGGAATTCAAGGATTTCAAGGACTTCGGGGTACGTCGAGGGCGTCGAACTCCAGGGGGAGCCGGATCGAGTCGACCGAGCTCCTCGCAGATTGGATCGGATTGCATGTTAATCATATTAATCATATTAATCATATTAATCGTATCAATCATATTAATCATATTAATCCCGACGATCTAACAACGCGAACACTACTTGCGGAAAATGAGGGAACTCCACTCCAACGTGATCGAATCATTTCCTACCGAAAACGAGGGAAAAAAAAAAATGAGACGAGACGAAGTTAGCCCCAAGTCGCGGAAGAGGTTCGCTAGGTCGACAGGAGTGACGGATTGATTCCGCAAGCGGAATCGCGGGAGATCGCAGGAATTCTCGGAGACCTCTCGGAAGAGGCAGAGCGGACAGAGCGAGGCGCCACACGGAGGAGCCGAAGATGGCGGCAGGATGCACGTGGCGCTTATCTACACCCTGATCGTCGGCGGCCTCTTCCTAATCTTCCTGATCGTCTTCGCGGCGAGCTTCTTCTTTTGCCCCCACGTCTTCGGGATCAGCGCGTACGAGGGCAGGGCGTTCTTCGGGCCTTCGAGGCGACCTCGGACTCCGCACCCGTCGCCGGCGGCCCTCGGGAGCCGCGGCACGGCTTCCGGTTCCGGACCCCCCGCGACGCCCTCGCGGCCCACCTGACCCCACCCGAAGGCCGCCCCTAAGTGTCCGTAAGTAGATTCTAAAAGTGTTACCATCGTCCCCCTCGCCAGGCGATCCGGAATAGCGATCCCCGATGCCAACCCTCCCGGAAGTGCAGAAATTCCCGAAGCCATCGTCCGCTTCCGGAAGAAGCGTTCCCACGGAGATTAACTCCTCCTGATACACGTGCACCCATTTCCCGAGAACCACGGCTGAAGTTCCCGAAGCTCGTTAAATCCCCCCGACGTTGCCTCGAAGGGAACCGCGCCACCTGCTTCCCCGGGCATTCCGGGAGCCGAAGGCGGCGATTCCGTGAACGGCAAACCTCGCCCACTGTTTTTCCCTTTAAACCCCGGTGTCACCTAACCTCTCGCGGTCCTAGCCCCTCCCCAGAGATTCCAGGCGTAACCCGAGCGAATCCTCCCCTTTGTCTCGACGCGTTTCCTCGACCTTGGGGACTCGTACCGGGCGAGGTGCGATAATCGATTCGACGCGCGTAGGTACGCGAGGGCACGCGTTCATTCCCGTCGAGCCATCTCGACTCGCGACGAAAATGCGACGCGTTTCACCCGGCCGAGAAGTGTAATCGCCCGACGCGGGGCACCGGGTCGGATCAACGGCCTCGCCGGTCCCCTCGTTCGGCGCGATCCTCGGTTTCTTTCCAACGAGACTTTCTCGCGACAAAGAAACGGAAGTGACGAGTTTTTCCTCGCTCGTCGCGGGAAGCGAGGTGAAAATCCGAGGTGAAAATGCGAGATGGCGAATAGACGAGAGTACTCACCGGCGACGCCGTGCTGGTCCACCAGAAGGTCCGTCAGCACGTGCGGGCACTCGGCCTCTAGGGCGAAGCAGAACTCGCGGAAGGCGTCGAACCCCTTGGCGCCGATCACGTCGACGAAGAGATCGATGTCGGAGGCGCTCGAGCGATCGGCACTGGCCGCGACAGCCTCGCGGTCCACCTCCGTGATGACGCCGCGCTTGACCAGCGCGCCCAGCAAGTCGGTCGAGTCGAGCTCGCGCTGAAGCGATGCCTTGTGCCTCCGCAGGAGCGTTCTCACCTCCGCGGATCCCGCCATGCCCGCCGCCGACCCCGGGACCCCGCGACCCGAGCAACAGGTGTCCCGAAACTGCCCGCGGCCCCCTGCGCGTCCCGGTGCTGCGCTCGCGTGCTTCTCGCGCGTCTCCGACCGACGCCGGGTGGCGCCATCTTGAATTCAAGATGGCGGCTGCCGCCATCTTGCGCACGTCGAGCACTCCGCCGGGACCGTCTGCCCTTTCGAATTTGCACCACTGTTTTCGCGCCTGCAATTTCTGACTCCTGACCTGGGAGTTGTGACAAATGAAACCCGCGTGAGATGGTAGAAGGATTCCTGGAGGAGGAAATAACCTCTGAGGTGACGAGGCGATTGTGATCACTGGGCAACTTGGGTGCCGGCGGTTGAGGTTAAGACTGTTTTAGTTGTTATCGAGGCGTCTCCTGTTTAGTGGATTTTTGGACAGGGAGAAGGGAGTTGAGGAGTGCAAGAAGGCGGTTGTCGATGGGGCAAGGGTTGTGGTAAATTGCGGGCGATCGAAAGAAATTCGGGTGGATGGAGAGCGGATAGGTTATGTTTGGACGCGCGCACTTGGTGCTACGTAACCTCGCACTTTAGCAGCTATGGAGTCCAGGACGGAGTTTAAAATTAAGTCCCCGCCTTCCGATGCCATCTCAGCCGTTGAATTTGGGCCCAATTCTACCCAGTTTCTGCTGGTGTCTTCGTGGGACAGCACCGTTCGCTTGTACGATATACATGCGAACTCTATGAGACTAAAGTACAATCATGACTTGCCTGTGTTGGATGTAGCATTTCAGGTATTTGAAGCTTTGTCGGGAAGTCTGACTTCTTGAGAGAAGCATTTCATGTATATCGTTTGACCCCTGTCCGCAGGATGCCGTGCATGCTTATAGCGGAGGATTGGGGCAGACCCTAAAAATGTACGATATTAACAGCAATACAGGTAATACGCTCTTGTACCGACAATGCATCGAGACGAGACATTAATTCTGATCTTCTTTCTACAGAATCGGTTATGGGAACTCATGATAAGCCTATCAGAAAGATTGAGTACTGTGCGGCAGTGAATGCAATATTAACCGGAGGATGGGATGCCGCCGTGAAACTCTGGGACCCCAGAACCCCAACGTGCGTCGGCAGTTATCTGCAACCCGATGTAGTACTTGCCCTGTCCGTATGCGGAGATAAGTTTGTCGTTGGCACTGCGAAAAGAAAAGTTTGTATATGGGACTTGCGCAACATGGCCGGCATGTTCCAAAGGAGAGAGAGCAGCCTGAAGTATCAAACAAGGTGCATTAAGGGTTTTCCAAACGAACAGGTAATTCGATGGGCAATAAAATGTACATGGGTCCTCCCTTAAGATGACAACTAAATTCATCTCTTTTTTATAGGGCTATGTTCTCAGCAGTATCGAAGGGCGAGTAGCTGTCGAGTACTTAGATACCACGCCTGAAGCTCAGAAGAAGAAATATGCCTTCAAGTGTCACAGGATAAAGGAAAACAACGTCGAACACATATATCCCGTCAATGCGATCAGGTTAACGATCCAGTGGAGTGCATTATTACAGTTTCGGCACGAATCGATCGAGACATAACTCCCCGATGTATGCTTTCAGCTTCCATTCCACCTACAACACATTTGCTACCGGTGGCTCGGACGGATATGTTAACATTTGGGACGGCTTCAACAAGAAGCGTCTCTGCCAGTTTCACAGATACAACGCGGGCGTGGCCGCCCTTAGCTTTAGTCAGGACGGCTCCGTTTTAGCCATCGGAGTGTCCTATCTCAACGAAGCCGAAATCCCTCCAGGTGGCACCGACGACGAGTACGAAATTTATATCAGATACGTCAACGACCAAGAAACGAAGCCAAAGTAATTCGTCGCCCTTGTGTCGATGTCCTTGCGATTCCTGACGCAGTCCGGAAGACAGTGGTGAATTTCTACGCGCGAACGATTCCGATTTTTTCGCGTTTCGGACACGACCGAAAGTCGCGTCGCAGCGTAAACTCTGCCGAATGACTTACACGAGTACCGTAAGCGCGCTACTTGTAGACCGTAACTTTAAATGTAATTTATGTATAACAGAGATATCAAGAGGTTCGTGAAGAAACGAGAGACCGCTTCTTAGAAAATATTCAGTTTTTCATTTATTCATTTTTCTCCGCCAAGTCCCGGAAAATGGCACAGCCCTTCCAAGGAGGCCGCGATGCGATTTCCCCAGGACAATTTAGGGCGTGCTCTAACGGTTCATGACTCGAACGTCGACTTATTCCTTCTTTTTTTTTAATTATTATTTTTAATAAATTATTTCCCTCCGCATCCGAAGACGGGCAACGTTACGATGGATCTTCAGCGTACGATCCAGTTAATAGAACATCTCGCATAAAGTTGGATCGCTCGTGCTTACCTGAAGAGCTACGCGTTACTACACCTGTTTGAACCTCGAAGAGATACGAGTGTCAAAAATTGTACATTCCCACGTTAATTGCAATCGACAGGAAGGCATCGCGACCAATTAGCGCCTTATTGTCGGAGTTAGAAATCTCGGTCGCGGTGTCGAGCCGTGTCGGTTAAGTTAGTTGGCGATCGATAAAAAGATAAAAAATAAGTCGGACAACGGAAGGTTGCGAGCAAAGATTCCATAATGTCGATGCAGCTGTAAAGTGGCCTCTCTCTCTTTCTAGTTAAGTGATTACTGTAACGATTTATACGGTATTATGTACAGGATTCTCAACAACGCTCGCCCGCGCGAGGTCCCCCGTGAGTCCTGGAGGCTCGCTCTTCCTTTCTTGGATTTCTAATTCCAGTGGAAGTATTTTTTTTTCCCTTCGGATTTACGAGGGTCCCTTTCGCGAGCAAGTACCTCCACGCCTAGCTCCCTGTGCGTGCGTGCGTGCGTGCGTATGCGAGTACGCACGTGTTATAACTCGAGGATTCTCTGCCATGGCGCATTTTCCGAGGAGCCCTCGACCTTGGCCTCAATGTTTAAACCAGGCTCCGCGAAATAGATCACTCCCGAAGACGACTATCCTCCCGTTAACTGATGAACCTCCTGAGGGCGTCGCGTATCGTGTCGTTGGTGGCGAAGCTAATGCCCACGGCAATGGGGCCCTTTATCCAGTTCATGCTCAAGCCCTTGTAGAACGCCATGGCACCCTCCTCTCTGGAAAACGTAGAATCGATAAGAGAATAGATAAATCGGGAGCCACGCGAGGGACCTCCAGACGAGCCTGGGTGACCTATCGCAAACTTATCTCCGCATCGACCGATGAATACCCGATAACAACTATTTCCGATGCACCGTTTAAAAAGAACGAGATGGCATTGCGACCTCTGATGTCGTACTTCTTAATTACAAAGTCTTAAGGTCTGATAAGCTTGTGCAATTCTATCGGTCAGCAAGTGACCCGTGGTTTAGACACACAGGCGATAAGGCTTCCGCGTGTCTTCCGGTATCCAAGAATAGACAGGAACCGATACGTCGATGGAACACCCACCTGTAAATTTTAGCGGCGGTCCCATAGACCGTGTGGTAGCGTTCGCCGATCACAGCCGAGGTCTGCATTCGCCTTCTCACGATGTCCAGGGGGTAGCTGCTCGTCTGGCTGACGAGACCAGCCACGGCCCCGCAGAAGAGAGCGGACATCGTGGCCCTCCCGGGGCTGTTCACCGTGTAAGCTGTTTTTAAGCATTAAGAGATGCGGATTACCATTAACCTTGCCGAGGGACCCTGCACTCTCCAGTGACCAGGGAACTCACCGGCCATGAGGTTCTTCAGGGTGTCGTATGTGAAGAAGCTGAACCCGGCGTAGGGCACCACTCCCAGGATCGTCGCCGTGAAACCTCTGTAGAACGCCAGGACCCCCTCCTGCCGGTACATCCTGACGAAGACCTGGCGCAGGGTCTTGTATTCGGCCTTCTGCGTCACCGCCATCCTCGCACGGGCCAGGTCAAGGGGATAGGTCAACCCTTGCGAGGTTACCCCGGCCAGGGAACCCGCGAGGAGCCGATTGGCCGTACTGCTCCTGGGTCAGTTCACGAGGAGTGAGCTACTTCAACTACTAGGACTTTTTATCTCAGGCTGTATCGTTTAATAGGTTTCAGGTGAGCTCTTACGTCTCCGTGCCGTTCACCCTGAGGAACCTCTTCCACTGTTCATGGGCCGTGAACTGGATTGCGGCGTAGGGGATGACCCTGACCATCGTCGCGCTGTTACCGCGCCACAGGGTCAACAGCCCGTCCACCTTGTAGGTGTGGTGGATGTGCCGAAAGGCGGCCTTGGCCGAGAACTGCCTCTTCGAGGTTTGGAAGGTGATCTTCGTCCTGTCCAGAGGGGCTATCACAGTCTTCGCCAGGGCGCCCGCCATGGCGCCGGACAGCAGACTCGTCCATACCCTCTGGGTGTTTGAGATGCCGTCGACCTGAAGACCCTTCCCACCCTGAAGAACGAGAAGAATTTAATCGACATCGACTAAATTTCTCAGCGCCTTTCGTATCACTTTGAAGCGATGAAGATGCCTCTTTGGAAGATACCATACCTGGGGAACGGTGGACACGCTCGTAGACGAAGACGTAGACTCGACAGAAGGCATGGCTGGCCGATGATCAGGGACGATCCGGGCCCGAGACTACTCCCTGCGACGTCCTGACACCTGAATTCGACCTGCAAACGACAAAACTCTAGAGACCTACTTGCGTATATACGAGTTATTTATTTTTACCCTATGCAATTAAACATGCCAAGTGATAAACTAATGAAATCGTCTATTTTTAGGAATTGCCGATACATGAATAATTCACGGATTTAATGCACGCTGCTAAACTTGTCGGAGATAATTTAGGCTGGCGAATCGCCTTATTATGCAGTCACGTCCTGGCAATGGTATTGCCGCGTCACGGCGGCAACGGTTGTGTCACGAGAAAAGGAGGAACGTCGGTGCCGAACCTACGGCTAAAGAAACCGAGACCACCGGTGCTCGGTTCTTCCCCAGGTGCGAGTCTCCTTGCCGTCGTCAATCAACGGCCAACAAGGTTCGGGATTCGTTGGAACGGATCCACGGTCAACGTCAACGATCGACGGAATTTACAACGCTTGAGCGGCGACTGTAAATTTAGCAACTTGTTTTCGCACGAGGCGAGGCCTCGACGTTCCTCTCTGGCGTCGAGCCTTATCAGTGGGAGTTGTTAACAAACAGTCGTCCTCGGAGGATTCCCTGAAGAAGCGACATACTAGGCCGCCCCATGAAATTACGCCATATCCCTGGTACCTCCAGAACCTCGCGTTAAGGCGTTGCGAAAGGGTCATTCTATATATATACTACATTCTAAAATAAGTGGACGTTTTATTTTTAATTTGAATTTTCACGAGCGTCGCGCCCTTCCACGTGCCGAGGTTTCAAGTGACCCGATCTGGATAAGTTTCATAAATATTTCGACACTTTGATATTATACGGAATGACCCTTTCGTATTACCTTAAGATGCGAAATTTTACCCTCCAGTTGGAGCCCTTCTGACGTACGGGCGAAATTCGCCCGCGCGTGCAGGGGATTATAGACCAAATGTGGGCGTATACGTGTACGTATCCTTCGCCGTTCACAATTTCTTCCCGATGTTCAAGCTACTTTAGACGTCCCTCTGTCGAGAAGAGGAACGTTAAATGAACAATGGAACTGTTTCGTGGGCAGTTATGGGTCAACCTAGTATCTCACACCCCTTACCCGGCGATTGGAGGCGGACTGAGAGTCTACGGTCTCCGATTCTCCGTAGCCACGAGGAGGACGTCGGAGTGGCGATAACGTTCGAGGGCAGCGATAGGTCGGCGCTCGCCTATCACGGTTATCGGGATCGCTCGATCAATCTTACGTAACGGACCGATTTTTCCCACCGCTTCCGCGTCGAGCCCCCGGGCCGCGGGCGGAGCGACCCCGCGGCGCGTCGCGTCGCGACGGCGGCGGCGCGCGAATCGGAACGCGATGCGACGTACCAACGAGCTCGGTCGAACACGATCTCTTTAGAACTGGCGACTAATACCCAGGACGCGCGACGACGCCTCGACGTACCGGGGCGACGTGCCTCCAGGAGGGCGCCGCCTTCTGGCGCGACGCTTCCTCCGGGGTTCTAGGAGTCACGGGAGTCGAAGGTCCTGGACGCCGCCGCCTCGGAAAGGGTCGACGTTCCCTGGGCGCGGTGGACTTCGCCGTCGCGGCGCTACATCCTCGGCTGCTCCACTTTTCGCTCCTCTGGGCCCTAGCGTGCGCGAGCCGACGGTCGGGACCGAGACTGGCCGAGACTGCCCGAAGTCGTTTCACGGTCATCGTCGACTCTACCGACTCTACGACTGACTGTCAGTGGTGCCAAGAGAGGGGCGGGACGCGTTCTCATGAGTGGCGGGTTCGCATGGATGGACTTTTCACTTGGGAATTTTTTTTTTGGGTCATCAAAAGGGAAAATAGTTGGCAAGGGATGCCATCGCCACGAGTCGCTGCGTTTACACCGACAGCTTAAATGCCGGATTTGTGTGGCGCCACTAGTGGCCGAGTTTTACACTTATGGATAAGTTCCCGATAAATCGTAGTACAGATGAAAACACCGTTAGTAGGGAGGACTTCTTAGTGCCACGATTCAACGGTGGAGACGATTCAAATATTTATAAATATTAGTAGACACTACATTGGAAATTTTTAGTGACACTAAACTTTCCTTTCGGACGGTACAAACGGTGCGCGCGCATTGGTTAACCTGCGGGTGGAATAGCGATGGAGCACCGCCCACCGTTTATCTTTCTCGCACAAATGCTTACTGGACTAGGTGCGACAAGGATAGGGATGTATCCTGGTTTATCTCTCACTCTGGAGCGGCTTGCCGTGTCGCTTAAGCGTGGCGAGCGTTCCAGTTTGCTATATATTCGGTGACAGGGGCATTCTCCGCACCCGGAGGAGTGTTCATCTGCAGCCGTGCGGTTCGTTGCAGTCCGTTGCAGTTCACGGTGGTTGACGGGCTTAACATTCCAGAAGAACAAGTGCACTTTATGAGTGCTGACACGAGCCGTGAGCCTCCGCACCGCACGAGGTATGACGTACTCGCAATGCGCTCTGCCTGTACGTCAAATTTCCTGCAGTCCGTACGTACTCGCATTCGTCACATTTTCAGCCTGGTCGGAAATGATGCCGCGTGTTATTCTCTCTTTTTCTTGTAACGCAGATGGGCCGCGTCGCAATGGGTTGAATACCCGCTAGGAGAGTGCCGATACCCGCGAAAGAGGAAGGGAAGAGGTGAAAGTGGGAAGGACGTTTCCCAGTAAACACGACGAGGAAAGGACAGGACGGAAAGGGAAGTTTTTCAAACTGTCTTCCTTCTTCGTCGTCGCAGCAATGGAGATCAAGGGACCTCTCTTACAAGGAATCCTGCTGTTCCCTCCGCAGGGAATGTTGGGCCAGCTCAAGGTTGGCACTCCGACGTTTAGTCACGATATGCGCTTTATTTTTATCCCTCCTAAAGGAAATAGATATCCTCTAGCGATTGTGGAAAGAAAAGTCAGTTAAAGTTGTGGCCGGAAATGGAGCGTGTTTATCTCCTAGATGGTTTCTGTGCAGAATTGTAATTATGGTCGTTATCGCTGAACTTGACAGTTTGATTTTCTTTTGTAGAAAACGTGGCACAAGAAATACTGCCAACTTTTTCAGGCTAGCAAGTATGGCATAGAGCGGCTTGAGATTTATGATAATCAGGATGAAGCGGTGTCTCAACAACATTCCCCAAGGATTATCACGCTGGAAGCCTGTATTAAAATCTCGCCGAGTAATCAGCCTCGTGTCTTTACCGTTAGTAATACCACGTTTATAATGGCTGGTGCATACGATACAGGCTTTAAAAAACAGAAAAAAGTTTATTTTGGATGATGTTTATAATTATAGTTTATTTCGTTTTTTTAGGTGGTCACGAAAACAGGCACTTACCACTTTGGGTGTTCCTCCGATACAGACATGGCAAACTGGATCGGCGCAATTCAGTCTGTTGCGTTTAAAGATAATCATTCGTGTCAAAATATAGAAGAAGATAACGATCTGTACTGCACCAGTGGCGAGGGAGTATTTTCTGTTAAATTAGTGGAGACGGATGCTTCAAAGCGTTGCAACTTGGAGTCTAAAAACTATACTTTGATCGTCGCAGCGGCAGATATTAAGTTAATGGACGGAGACTCCGTACTGTATGCTTGGCCATACAGATACATCAGAAGATACGGCTACAGGGATGGGAAATTTACGTTTGAAGCTGGAAGGAAATGCGAGTCAGGGGAAGGTTCGTTCCGCCTGGAGCACAGCAATCAGCAAGAAATCTTTAGATGCATATCATCAAAAATGAAGTCAATGAAGAAGTTACTTGGCACGGAAGGTAGTCCTAGCATAGAGTGCAACGATGCTCAGTTTCACGCAGCCCTGTCCATGGAAGCCGGTTCTCGTTCACCTTTGCCCCCATCTCCAAACAGTTCTGCAAGCCTAATCGACATTGACTTCACAACCATCTCGCAAAATTCTCAAAAACATCTCAACTCGTCATCTTCGAGTCTGGAGTCCATTTCATTCATAAAGCCTCCACCACCCATTATTAAACCAAAACCTGCAAAACCACCAAGAAAACACATCTTCGCAGCGTTACTGGAAAAGAAGTCTCTGGATCCCGAGTTTCTAGATTTACCGGCGTGTGGTAAATACCGGAAGTTAACCCAACACGAATCTCCGGAGCTCCTACCAAAAAATCCTGGAAACGCAAAGGAAGAAGATGAGAAGCATTCGTATGATCTTGTGGAAGTAAGAAGCGATGCGTGGAAGACGCACGGCATAGATAGCGTTCCACACACGGAGAGACCGAATCGATATTTGCTCGACAATAAATCTGTTGACAAAGAAGCTGCAGATGATGAGTCTCAGTATGAGTTGATGATTCCAGCTCCCCAAAACTTAGCGAAGCATAAATCTAGTGTCATGGAGACTGTAACTCCAACGTCGCCGATCATCCACAATGATATCGCTTCCAAAACTGACTCTCCGAATTACGACAAACTACAGCATTTCGGGTCGACACATAAGCTCAATCACAATTCAGGATACAAGATGCCAAATCTACAGAGTTTATCTCAAACTTCTCAGTATAGTTCTAGTGCCGCTCCAACGAATTTGGAATCAAACCCTTCTTGGAATGACTACGATATCATCGATGACATGTGTGCAGTTAGATTAGCTGACGACAGCCACCTTGGTTATGGAATAATTAGAAAAAAAAGTAACTCATCGACTCCTGACACTAGCAACGTAGGGCCAAAGCACAAAGTCTACAATGAAAGTGAATACGCAATTGTATCGAAACCTAAGAGAGTTTGAAACAAACAAAGGTTAACCTGACACGAAGTGAAAGTATGGGTGTGTCTAATCTGTAAACGATTTTAAACATACAATACGCTTATTAAGTAAGCCATATTGTGCGATCGATTGAACTGCCTTGGGAGATTTTTAAGGAGTCAATTTGTCCTCGCCGAAAACTACTTAGTGGCCCATATTAAAGGAGTTTATCTCCTTTATTCAAACTGTCTTTTTTATTTTTAGATATGTATACTTGACTGATCAAAGCTCAGATCTAGTGCCTTATTAATGTTACCCAATTATTACTTTAAACAATAACGTGAGCCAAATTTTTTAATAAGTCAATGAGTCTTACGCCTTTGTAAAGCAGTATGGCTTGCCTAAACATTTCCAAAATTAGTATGTGTAACAAGTTAGAAGCAATGTAGAATATTTAAATTAAGGACATATTTTGCAAACAGTTGGATAACATCAAAAAATTGCAATACTAAGCGTAAAATTGTTTTATTATTTTTATATATGAGTGTAGTTTAACGAGTGGTGCATCACATATTTTTTACAAATGGTCGAAAGATGTAATGACACATTTTGTAGGAGTGACCAAAGAATGGCATTTAAAGATACTTAATGAGAGACCAGTGAGACAAATAAAATCGAACCATTCAATTTTATTGAAAGATATTGCTTTTATCTAGAATTGATGTTCAGGAAACTAATGGAACTAAATTTGGTGGATTTATCTGCATTATTTCTGTGATTTCTGGAACAAAACTAGTGGTTCAATGTTTTAACTGGTTACCAAGAGTAAATATAACTCAAACAATGAAAATATTCATATTTATACTTTCTATTTGTTTTCTAAAATGAAATTATAAAATCCTGTGAGTCCATTGTATTAGTATAATCGTTTGTGACAAGGTAATCAAACAAATTGACAATTGCAACAGAATATGTACGCTAGCTAAGCTTGTCGTCATGTTGCACATAATATGTTTGTATCAATAATTTCCGTATTTATAAGAGAGTTTATAATTTGTATATCATCCAGCCAGAAGTTAATATACTTTGAGGTAAAAGTTTTACTTTGTTTTATTTATTTAGATTAGTGAAGTATTCGAGCATAGATCATATAATGGTATAACATTATTTTAATTTATGTTACAACTTCTTACAGCTATATTTACTTCTTACACGTTATTACATCTAAAAATTAATGTCCTAAGCATCAGTAACTTTTATTGCTCTTAAAGCAGTTTGCTGTCATCGACAACGCTCTTTGTATGTGTCGTTTCTTGTACTTGTTTATCATCTTTCTCAATTAAACTTGACTCCTCTTCTATTTTTAAATTCTGGCTGCACACACTTTCATAGTATTTTTTGACATTTCCTACTTCCTCCTTAGCAACGGCTTCAAAATAACCGTGCTCGTCATTTCGAATCCTAAGAACTTGTTCACCTTTCTCTGCCAATATCCGTTCAATATTGGTCTTTCTGGTAATACCAAAGAACCATCCAAGATTATCTGCAATAAGATGATTATTCTTGCACCCATCACAGCGCACTATCACTATACCCTTTTCGTATGCTAGTTTGGAGATAATCTTTGCAGATCTCGTTTTGCATTTTTTACAGGTGAACATTAATTTAAGCTTCCCTTCGATTCGCCCAATAACTTGCTTGTTATTTTCAGTGTTTTTATCAACATCTTCTTGTGGCTGGAGGCTAGCATAATGACGGTTGACATTATTCAACGTATAGTAAGTACTGTTATAACCAAGTAGCTTTGCACTTTGCAAATAACGTGCAGCGGTCCATAGCGATCTTCTCTCCGCAAATCTCAGAGCGAAAAGTGCCACTCGTAACGAAAACATTTTTATATATTCTGGTCTTAATGTAATTATAAGACACTTTAATTTCAAGGAAATATAACTTAACCTCAAACGATTGTTTTCATTGCGCCGACTGCCAGAATTGTTTTGTAATTCCTAAACTGCAACAACGCAGAGGAATGATTTTTCAGTTTCTTTGCTTACGATTGACGTTAATTTTCAATTCAGAAAACATGTAGAGCGAACCATTCGGAATCATTGAGGTTACTAGTAATCTAGTGATACAAAGTCCTATAAACATCACATCGCAAAGCACTTCCGTCGCGACCCCACCACCCATCATTCCCGCCTTTTAATATTATCTCGATGACGAGCCCCCATCAGAAATGAGTTGCGCCGCCACTGGGGGGTAACAAATGGTAAATGCATTAGCCGTACGCATCCTCCACCAGGGGGTAGCACAGAACGCAATCGCGCGACCCTGCCTGTGAACAATCTCCCAATTCATCCCTGGTTACGTATTAAACTATCCAGAGATCTGACCTCCTTTTAAATTATTTCAGCAAAGGGAAGAGGTGGCAAACAGTTATAAAACAAATGAATTTAGCAAACTTAAGCTAATACGAATACTTTTATGGACAGATACATGTCAGTTTATGATTTCCAACATTAATTTCTGATGATTACAGAATATTTTATAAGGAATGTTCCTTTATTTATTTTTTTACTTTTTTTACAAAAAAGTTGAAAATTAACAAATTACTATTTTTATTCCATACTTTTTTATTCCCCATTACCACCCCTTCAGATTTCTTAGGTAGATATTTTCTTATCTCTATCATAATATTCTCTGGGACGAATAACTGAACAAGTTGTTTAGCATTTTTTGCAACAGCCTGAATTCTGTGTGACTAAATGCATTTCAGTAAGGATGTTTACGATAACAGGTTTCTCCTCAATTTTACGAATGATTATAGGAACCACCGGAGTGTGTACTTGGATGATAGAGCTTAACTGAGTAGATTTCTTGTTAAGGTCATCAATCGCTTTGATTATCAATGGTTCCACTGTATCACCTGAGCTCGTGTCTGTACATTTTTCTACGATTGTACCAATTTCCTTTAAAATCTCCAGAAGTGCATCGAAATCAACTGTATCAGTGTAAACAGATTTCTTAACAACACTACCCATTTCTTTAATAATTTTTAAGAGTTTCGCTTGATCGGCAGCATTTTTTTCAACAGCTTCTGCCTTCATTTCTCCAATTGTCTTTATTAGGCTTAGGATATCCTGATTAGTAAAATCTTGCTCAACAGATTCTTTAATATTTTGATTAAAGAATAAGTCCGTTGCTACTATCTGCTTATGACTAATGACATTTATGATAAGAGGTTTTTTCTCAGCTTTACGAATAATTATGGGACCCTCTGGAGGATGTACCAGAATGAGAGAGCTGAACTTTTCATTTTCCTTATTCAACTCATCGATCGCTTCATTTATCTGCAGTAGTTGAGTTTGATCATAAGAACCTGTTTGCGTAGTTTCTTGTCCGATTGGACCAAGTTTCTTATAAATGTCTAAAAGTGCATCCAAGTCAACCGTATCGGTTTCAACAAGTCTATCAACAGTATTACCAATTTCTTCCACAATGTTTAAGAGCATCAACTGATCGATAGCATTTTCTTCAACAGATCGTGGGTTCATCTTATTGATCATTTTTAACAGGCTTAGTAAGTGCTGCTTCTTCTTGTATTTAGATTTCTTGTTCAATTCATCGATATCTTGTATAATCTTCAGTAGCTGTTCCTGATCAATAATTCCTGTTGGACTAGACTTTTGTCCGACTGCACTGATCTTATTGTGGATTTCTAATAGTCCGTCCACATCAACTATATCTGTAAGAATAGGTGTCTTAACAGTTTCGCCAAATTCCTGAAGAATGTTTACCAGCTGTTCTTGGACATCACAGCTTTCTTTAATCGACTGTGGTTTAAACTCCTCGATAATTTTTATCTGAGAGAGTAATTGTTGCTGATCAATAGAATCTAGTTGAATAGGTTGCTTAACAATTTCAGCAATGATTGGGGCATCTGAGACTGTCCCTTCGTGACTAGGCATATTTAAAATCAAAGGCTTTTTCTCAGTTATATGAATTATTACAGGGGTATCGATATACTTTTCAGTATAATTTTCAACAGCTGCTTCTGGTCAATGTAATCAATTTGAGTTGATTTCTTTCCAATTATTATTCGATCATTCAGTGGTTTTAACAGGAATTTCAAGGCTTTTCAAGCAGACCATGTGAAATATATCCCAGCCTCGAAAGATTGATCTTAATGGTCCTCCTCTCAGGAGAGCTTCCTCGAAATGAAAATTTCTTCTAACCTGTAGGAACAAAGAACAAATTATTTTTCAGCCCCTCAGTTTATGTTTGATATTAACTTTCAATTCAAGAAACGTGTAGAATAAACTACAGAGATGAGAGATTGCTCACGGGCAGGCTCGCGCGATCGCATCCCGTGCTGCCCTCTGGTGGAGGATGCAAACGGGTATTGCACTTTCCACCTGTTACCCCTCAGTGGCGCCGTAACTCATTTCTGATGGGGATTCGCGCAATCGCGATGGCAGTGCCATCTAACAGTCGCCACTAGCGGCTCACATACTCTTGATGGTAAAACCATATGGCAATTGGTGGTGGCTCACTTACCCTTACCCATAAAATCCGCGACAATTACTCATGAGCCCTTCGTGTCGGTTTCCAAAAAACGAACTAAACCCTTTAGCGAACGTTTGCCACCGAAACGATTTCCTAAACGTCCTGAATTCTCACAACACCCCGATCTTCCCACAATACCATAAGCTTACTATTCGGTCTCAGATTCCTCCCATCCACCCCCTGCGCATGAAAACAAAAACCCTTCTCCAGGGCTAAAAAAAAATCCTGGTGCATCAGTCATCAATTACATCGCAACTCTGCAGTGAAAGCTCAGCCGATAACCGCATCCCTGCACCCATGCACCAAAATCACCCCCCACTTATACAGCTCGATAAGTCTAAGAATCGAATCTCCCCGACCAGCCATGCCCCATTAAGCACCGGAAATCACATCACCCAGCTGTTAGATCGTTTCCTTAATCCTCGTAATCGTTCTAATTTTTCCATCCCCCTGATTTCCGCGATTTCCCGAGCTTCCGCGTTTATGGATACCCAGTGTCCCCCTCGAGTGCGCAGGCGGTCTGCGCAGCGTAGTGGGGGAAGCTCAGTGCGCGCGTCGGCTCGGGGTTGGGTCGGGGCGTCGGGCGGTGAGGGCGGCAGTGCGGGTTCTGGGGGCGGCGAGGGCGGGTGCCTCCGCAGCAAGTTCGCGTGCCTCCCTTGGCGACAGCGGCGACGAGGTACCCGAGGACGCAGGAGCCGAGGTCGCGGCGCAACCCGGTCTCCAGCCGCTCTCGGGCCGCTCTCCACGCTCCTCAGTGAACCAGCCTGCCGGCGCCGAGGCAGGAACGAGGCCCGTCCCGAGGACCGAGAAGGTAAATCGATAGCCCTCGCCGAAGGGACGAGAATTCATCCCGGCGAGTCTTGCTTAGCTTTTGGCCCCGGCTGGAATACTGGCTATTCGATAAGGGGAACGTTTCCGGGACCCTCGGGTGGCGCGGCAGAGTGTGTACGTCACGTGAACCCTCCCTCGAAACGTATTATATCCGCTTGATTAAAATCCAGGTATAGATATTTTTTTCTTCAATTTGCGGATAGTACAAATCATGGGAGGGGCAGGGAGTCACGTCACGTGAATGCTCGCTGGAAACGTAGTATTCGGTGCGCTATGTAAAAGCTAGTATGATACTTTGTATATATAATATTTATATTAGAATATTTTATACCGAAATATAATCTAATGTAATATAAATGAAAACGGGAGACGATTCAGTCATTGGTTCAGGAGTAGATATAGTAACTTGCTAGACGGACTTCTTTATCGCACCGAGGTAAATGTCCTCCTTCAATTATGAAGATCGTCAGAAGATTACGTGTAATACGTGCCGAAGAAATTTCATGAAAAAAATTCGTTTGCGTGAAATTGACTGAAACTATAATCTCTATTAAGTAATCTTCGCCAGACCGGAGCTAAGTACAGACGAGACACAATCAATTCGGTCATTGGTACAGAGATAGATATAGTAATGTGTCGGGCAAACAGCTTCTTTATCACCCCGAGGTAAATGTTCTTATACTGTTAAAAACTTCTGTTCGAAAAATAATATACGTGTAGCCCAAAAGTAGTGTACATGTTTTTCTGGACAGATTATCTCGAAATTTCAGAACAGCAATAATCCTGTAAAGCCATTTTTCGAGCACGTCGAAGGTAAATAATAACTGGAGACGAATAATTCAGACATCGGTACAAAAGTAGACGTAGTAGTGCTCCAGACGAAGAGCTTCTTTAGCACACCGAGGTAAATGTCCCTACCCAATTAGGAGGAACAAGACGAAGTACACGTTTCGTTGAAGAATGAGCCTTTTCCGTGACTTTGCTTCAGAAATACGAGCTTTATTGCGAGGTGGTTAAGACAGGTCTCGAAGCGACGATTTTTAGACTCTTAGTGTCTGAGATCGATAAAGGATATATCGGAGGTTCTAATTATGTCTTTTAATATTTCTTCTCGATCCTGAAGCTACTCTATTTTTCTTTTCTTTTTAATTCGGCGGCTTATGCATACTTGACCGAAAGATTAATCAGTCTCTTGGGTTTATTGGTCAACGACGTTCCTCTTCTTGCATCGAGTCGTTCCCTTTCCTTCGTGTCAAGCAGTGATTGGTTCGTGATGACAAACCTTTTGAACCTCTTTTTTTTCTTTTTTTTTTGTCAAAGGGAAAGGATCAATCAGTTGAGTCTCTTCGCACGATGACATTACCAATAAAGCTCTTTATTAATATTAATTCCTTTAGTGCACACCCTTTTTGCAATGCATTTTTCGGGGTCAATAACAATCATTTTGATCTCTTCGAGCGATGACCTCGTCGCAATAAAGCTCGTTGCTCTGCACTATTTTTACATAACCTTCATCGATCCAATGCCTCGATAAAGCAGAGATAAACGATTTGAATTTTTTCCAAGTTTTTAGGATTGCGGGTACAGCTTTATGTTTGGCATCCGCAATCCAGGCGTAATTTGGAAAATGATTGACCGGCTATTGAGAAATTATTGTAATTCTGAAATTAATGTTTCGCGCTAGCGATCTGAACTTCACGCTGTCCGTTTTGGTAATGAGGAAAATGAACAATTGGTGAGACAATCTCATCCTCGGAACGTTGCAGATTATCGATGCAACATCTAAACTTACTAATTAATTACCGGTCCCTGTGTACGAAGAGCGAATATTTATGATTGGATACGCGGTATAGCGTAGCGAGGTAAATTTACATAATTCAGTCGCTCCGGATGAAAATTCAAATCCAATCATGAATTTATATTGCGATTCAAGTGACCTTTTCCGTATTAAACCTTCAAAGTTTTTCCATCTATTGTTCTGCATCTTTTCGTTATATATTTTTTTTTATCGTCCGAAGAGTGGTACAGAGCAATACAAGAGAAATTCACGAGTGCTCCGGCATTCTTTCGATAACGTATCAGTGCGATTCGTTGAAACATCGAGGACGCAGGCATATTGTTACTTGATAGACATTAAATTATATTAATTGAGGGAAAAATATAAGGCACGCAATGAAAAATCTATTTCATTCCATATCAAGTGGGAATTCAAGTAATCAAATCATGTTTTGGAATTGTCACCTTTTTGGTATTGGTCACACTCACTTTTTTTTTTGTTATGTGCCATTCGTTATTTCGGTTGTTAAATGGAAGGATAGGTGTCGTTGCGATAGAGGGGGGATTCGTGATAGCGTATCAGTAAGAATGTTGAGACAACGAAGCCGTAGATGGACTATTATCTGTTAAGTGTGAGGTGTCTTACGCACGGCTCAGACTGACCCACATAGTAAGCTAGGTTAAAGGGTGCGTCGCGACGTCCTACCATTACGATTTGCGACGCACCACGAGGGGTGTCTATCGCTCCTTTAATTCCTATTTTCATAGCCCCACCCAGTAAAAATAAACCCCGGCACGCTTTAATGCGCTCTAACACGCCTACCAACTATTAACCCTTCCGATACCACTCTCATATCACCTTACAATACGAAAATAATTGGCGCACTTAGCTCACTTGAAGCAGTACTTAGGATTTACAAGGAAAATCGAGGCATTGGTCAGGCATGCTTTTAGCGAACACCCTGTACACCATGATGTTACTCAATTACAAGGGTACATATTTGATGCTGTACACCATGGACGTGGATCAATATTTCCCTCCAAGTTCTATTTTGGAGCAAACCCATACAAGCATTCGTGATCGAATATAGGAATTAACTGCGATTTAGGGAAAACGTGTAGTACCACTTCGCCTTGAAATTGCAAATGATTTGGCCAACTGTTCGTAAAACTGTTCTACGTGTTTAATGAAAGGGATTTATGTAACGTAAATACCTATTGAATTCGAGATACGACAAAGAGGAAGAGGGATGGGTGAAGATGTTTCCAATAATTCTTGCGTACAACGGAGCATTATGTAAAGGGGATTGGTTCTGTCATTCGGAATGGTTTTAACATTGGCTTTGACCGCGGGAGTGATTTTCTGGGTCCTTTGTAAAACCGTGGATTCACATTGTATATACATTTTCTGAATGTACCTTAATCGCGTGCTGCATTTTTCGTTATAATTCCTGGAAAAGTAGTCGCTTTACGGAAATATTCTAGCCTTATATGTACAGCTGATGGAGACGGAGTATCTGTAGATCGTGCAGCTATAGGGGAGGGGGAAGAAAATAAAAAGCAGTTAAAAGAGATGCGGCGTTTCAAAGGCTACAGAAGTTCCAATATGTCCCCCGAGCAATGGCGCATTATGTAAAGGGAAATTGGTCTTGTCATTGGGAATAGTCTCAATTTTCTCCGAAGGAAAGCCGATGGATTGAGAGGCATTCTGTATCCTTTGGAAATATCGATTGCATCTTATTTGCCTATTAAATTTTATGAGCTTGCATAAGCGTATTGCGAAAGCGTGGTACGAACATAGATTCAACCGAAGAATGGGATTTATCATTTCGTTACTTAATCCATGGTTTACGTTTGACAGATTGTGGTTCCATATTTCGCGATTAATGCGCTTCACTTAAAAAAAAAAATTATTCGCCCTACATTTTTTATCTCAAAGATGGATTTATATCGGGGAAAATTAAGATGGGAGATTTAATTCGTGAGTGACAAATGGGTAAATTGAAATGAAGTTGGGGGGTTCGATGAATTTGCTTTTACCGTTGCTTGTACATTGTTATGTAGACTGCACTAGCCTTCTATAAGCCTGACAAAAAATAGAGAACAACACAATAGAGGAAAAATGCATTTATGTTGTCCAATGTAAACGGCCGGCTGACCACACGTCGAGTAACTCTACTGCGAAACCGGAGCTGCGTATTCTGCCTTTAGTACGTTTAATTTTTTTTCTTAACCGTTTAAATTGAACAATTGCGCTTTCCTTTATTACCGGAAACAACTAGGAACCTTATCTGCGAGAATAAAATTTTTCCGTGCAGTAGCAAATTTTTTTACTCCGCGCACTTTGATGATTTTTATCAAGCGTACGACGTTGCTTGGATTAAATCCTCAGTAGGGATATGATATTTTCTCGTTATCGAGTTTCAGGAAATTTCTACAGATTCTGCTCTCTTTTTGTTCCAGCATGGAGTGCCCCGAAGCGATAGAACGGGGCCGGAGGTTTCGTCTCCTGAACGACGAAGAACTCCCCCAACTTTTGGACTTCCTCACGGGGTACTTACCGGAGTCCTTGAAGGTATGCTCGCTCTTATCGTCGATTTAATTGCCACGGAAAGAAAACAGGAGTACGAAGTCCTGGAAAACTCGGAACGGGAAGGTATCCCTGCTCGAGGTGGCCTTCTTTACGAAGAGGTCCGCGAAGTGCCATTTTAAATAGGTACGATGTCTAATTTGCGAAACTCCCCTGAAAAGCGGCCCACGCGAAGGTACATCTGGGCTTCATTCGCTTTGAATGCACCACGTTGCAGTAAAATTATACATGTCTACGTCTTGATAGTAAATCACTCCACATTTACCGTAAATTCCTAAATAAATTGCACATTTGTATAACATCGCGTCCTATAACACGTATGATAAATTTCATTTTAAAACGTTAGAAAATTATGCCACGTCCGAATAGAAATTCCGGCAAAAATGTTACAAAATTGTTATACTTTTTTTTATACAGTGCAGGGTATGATAGGCATACATGCCAACGTTCTCGAAGTCCGAGGACTCAAGGCCGATTGAAAATCCACCGCAGCTCCCCGAAGTGAGCCAAAATCCCCTCGATCGGGAGTTCCCGTTTCTCCCTCATTTCCTGCAATTCCGCAATTCCTTTTCCGCAGCGTTCCTTTACGCGATATCGAGCCCGAGTCCGCGGATCGCCAGGCCGGATCTGGTTCCTCACGTTCAGGAAGGGCTGGGTCAAGGTCACGGTCAGGGCCGAACAAGTTGAAGGTCGTGGCGCGTGCGTAACCCGTGACCGTCGCAATGCCGCGGAGGTTGCGCGGGTCAGGGTCGCGGCCTTGAAGAGGTTCGGTCCACCGCGGCGAGGAGACCCTCGCAGGGGCCGCACCTCCGTTGGCCCAGGTCATGGTTTACCTGGCGGCCGAGAGCACGTGGTCGCGTGTGACTCCTGGATGTGGGTCGCCGCAATGCCGTCTCTTCCGGAATCGGTGCATGCTCCTGCGGACGCGTGTCGAATCTCGAGGCCGACCTCGGCCCCGGGGGGTGAGGCCTTCAGCTTCGGTCCTGTTCCTTCGGAGGAGCCTGATTATTCCCTTGTCACCGGGAAGGACGAAACAGGACTCCGTGTTTGCTTGGTCCACAGGACTGGGAACGGGAAAGGGAGGCAGGAGTCAAATGGGACTCAGGATTTCTTGATTTCGCATGGATCTTGGGAAGTGTGCCATTTCTTTTATACAATCAAGAGGAAGATCTTTACATAATTAAGAAGGGGTGGAGAGTATTTTTATAGGACGAGCTAACGCGATAGGGAAATAAATATGATAGGGTGATTTCATTCTGAAACGTCTTCCTGGTGTTCCGAGGAACAGTTCATGTCCTCAGGAATCCCGACTTCGGTCCGACCGATGAAATTGCCGAACCAGTTGATTCCATATTTCACGTTTGCTCGATAGAACCACTGCGCGGAAAAACATATTAAACTTTTTAATTTAGTCCCTGACCTTTGCGAGGCTCGCCCCGAGCTCATGCCTTATCAGGAACGGTCTCATGTTTGTTCTGACAACATGTCGATGTCGAGTGGAAGCGCATTAGGGATTATTCGGATCTTTAGATCCCAGTCGGTATTATGGACGGTCCTCTGCGTTTCACCTGCGGATCAGGAACATTAACCCTTTAATTACGAAACGCCACTTTAGTGGCTTCCGCATGACCGACGTTTTTTTAAGTAGTGACATTAAGTGGCTTCCACCTGACCGACGATTGTTTACGAAGCGTTGTTACAGTGTCCCCCTTCGTTCCCATGTATTTTGACGTTTTGATATACATATACAGAAAGACCCTTTGATAACACCTTAAGGCCTACAATCAGAGGTTCCAACAATAAGTAGGATGAAAATTTCGACTCGGGATCCCTACACGTCTTGGTGTCTTCACGTTTACTGCATGTTCCACATCCTTATCAATGTTGTCGGTAACGAGGAATAAACACAGAGTATTCATATTTTTTCGTGCGAATTTTAATTACGCCTTTCAGTCTTCCACAGGGTAAATTAATTCGAAGTTCCAAAGACTTCATTAAATTTAAAGGTCACTAAGGTTCCTCTGTAACTACACCCTGACCTTCATAAGGCTCGTTCTTTGTTCTCCGTAAACAGGGCCTATAATTGAATGGTGCCATTATGTTCCGTGTTTCTTCTAACCACACGTCGGCGGTCTATGAAATACATTAACAAAACCTATTAAGGCCACCTTTTCATGAAGATTCTCATTTGAAAAGAAGCTTTCCACGTGGATCGGGTAAATTGTGACGAAATTAAAGAGAAAAAAAACTGCGTCAAATATCAAGGTCGATCCGCAGGAATTCCGTCTTGCGGAGACCCTGACCTTCGCAAGGCGCGTCCTTTGGTCGCAGGTCGTGAATTGATTGAATTGCATCCAAGTTTCGGTGATTTGCAATCCCCTAGTTTCGTGCTAGTCGAAAAGTGATTAGCTGAAATTAACGAGCTAGAGGATGTCGCCAAATGGAATGCAGTTATCGTGTGTCTTTCAGTGCAGTCCCTGCCAGACACTGCGAGAGGGGGATGCAGCCGAATCATTTGATTACTAATTAAATCCGTGACTGCGCAAAGGAACTGCAACTAGACTCGAAACAATTGCGAATAAAGGGATTTTATTAATCACGTAGATATTTCGAGTTGCGTTGAATTTCGACTTTGATTGATAGCGGACCTTTAAAAAGGAGCCCTCAAGCTCGTCCAAAGTTCTAAACTGCAAGCCCCGGGCATAATTTCGAAAGTGTACTTACAAAGGCTTCCCTAACCTAACTTCCTGTGACGTTTAGGTGGAATATACGGTGTACATCCAGCCCGAAAGTCCTTTGGGCTTAGAACTGGCGATCGATATGCATTGTCCTGAGATTTCCAATCAAGTGACTATAAAAAGAGAATGGACACAAAAAGTTCCACGAGGAGACGAAATATTTTGTATATTCTACATATTTTACATCTCCGAAAAATGGGCCAGATTCTATATATTATGTGTCTTCGAGAAATTCCCCCAAAAATAGTCTAATGCAGAAAGAAAGTAAAGTTAGTTGTACTTATACTAGAGTATTCCAGCAAGTGCTCGAGGTTATGAACTAGTTAATCTATTTTGCAGTGAACTAAAAGAGATAACGCGAACGAGCGAAAATTGCACTGCTAAATGTTAAATTACCGGGTCGCGAATTGACGGTAAGTAGAAAAAGGGAATGCATCGCCTCTAATTACCCGGTATTAACTCCCGATTGAGATTATTTCCTGACGTTAACGATCCCTGCAGTGGGACTGCAAAGCGTTCCAAGGATTTCAGCCATACCTCGGATTGGCCCTGAACTTTATGCCAACATTCTATCCCATTGGTTACGATTTACCCTTAAAAGCTGCAAAAGCTCCTTCCTCGTGACCGAAGACCATTCGAACTTCTGGATAAATTCCTAATGTATATTTACTTGAATCAGCGCGGAGTGCGCAGCTCGGAAGGGGTTTCAATTAAATATAGGGGTATTAAATAAATCCAGGAAGTTAATATCCAGGTGAGTGCTCAGGTAGTTGGTAATTAAGGATTTCTCTCGGAACAGATATCTGGCTCGGGGTTGGAACTTTCCCCTGACGGTAATAAGCTACGTTAACGAGACTTAGGATGTCCTAAGGACCTCCGGGAGTGTCTCACGACCGTCCGGAAGTTTGCCCCAGCTTGCGAGATTATCGCTCACGTGCTTTCGAGGATTACCAATTGCTGGCTCTCGGATTTCCACGTCGAGATTTCTTTTTTCCTGGGGATTTTCACGGGGCCAGATCCTTGGGACACACGCTAAGTAGATCGATTTACACGCGCACGCCCCGAGAAAAAGGAAAGGTTTTACGTGCGTCAGGACCCTCGACCTTGACCATCGATCGTCTCCTCGTTTGCCGACATGAAACGGTTTATTCCCGTGTAAACCCGAGCCGACATTGCACCGCACCGGGCGTATAACGAATTTAGCCCCATTTCGCCGTATCTCGCCGCGATATCGAGAAAATTGTGGAAATCGTTTTGACGCAGGGAGATTCGATCTTTACTCGAGGGGCTTGGCTTCCCGTGACGATGCCCAGGTTCATTTGATATACGTGTGCGATAAATGTGTGGGAAATCATTAATAAAATATTTACATAAACAGTAAATAATCCTAATAGTAGATTCCGCATGGATGTGGTCTCGGATTATTTCTTACAGGATACTTTGCGACGCATTAATTTTTTTCCTGTCAGAAAACTCGAGAAAATCCTGCAAAAAGTCTTGACACGTTTCCAATACATTTGACTTCGATTTCCGGTCGATGCGACACTAATTGCCGACTCTTGGCTTGCAGTTTCATCAGACTTTGCTGACCTACATGCGAGAAAGGGTGTGGGAGTTTCACTTTTACGTGGCTGACGGCTGGCCGGAAGTCCCGATCTGCCTCCACTTTCCTGGCATGACTTTGTCGGTAAGTGCGGAATAAAGTCTTGCCCTTCTTGCCCCAAAAAAAAAAAGGAAAGGAGCGCTCTTCTCGCCCTTCTGCATATAAGTTACGACGCCTCCAATATTTCGTGATCGTCGCTTCAGCAAAATCCTGTAGACTGTGAATTCCCCTCATCAGCTTAGATTTTTTATTAGATCGTTAACGAGCGAAGTGAAAATGTTGAATTGAAAATTCTCGATACGGTACCCTCGATGTATTTAACGTACACGTTTCTTTATTTCCCAAGCGAATTTAGTTAATTGAAATTAAAATGTGTAATATTCGGAATTTGTTCTAGTATTTGCAGAGATTGCGCGGTAACGTAAATCGTCCTTAAAAAAAGGGGTGATTTCAATAGAAGTTTCTACCCTTAAATTCCATAAAATCATTGTCTATCTGGGTATAGGCCACACCATTTCCCTCCCCGTTAGCCATCGAAATCTGGCAGGTTCGCCAGGATGGCAAACCAAATCCCCCTATCAGACTCCACCGATGACGAGGATGTCGGTCTTGTTGACGTTCCAGCCGCACGGTCTTCTCTACGAGAGCGTGGGTGTCTTCTGTCCAAGCGACAGACGGGAGCTGGTGAGTCTCCTGCGGGAGGAGGATGTCCTGCTGGACTGGTCGAGACCCCTCTACATCAACTTCACCCACCACCAGATCGTCGACGAGCTGGCCCTGCTCTACGAGGACGTGGGCACGATGGACGGGGTCTTGGGCGACGTCTGGGCCTGCGAGGAGCCGGAAAAGACCACCCAGATAGAGGACGATCCTGCCGACGAGAACGAGGTCCAGGTCCTTCCTTTAAGGTGAAACGAAACCTTCGATTTAATCGACCCGAAGGAGACACTTTTCCCAAGGGCATCCCAAACCCGATAAGTTGCGAAGCCGAAGCTTTCAATCTGGGAATGGAAGCTCCGTCTTCACGTAATGCAAACGAATGGCTGAAGTATTACTTCGGTCGTGGGTCCCGGGAACATGTTCCTTTTTACCGGCGTCGATCAAATGTCTCAACGGACTTCACTTCCCCTTAAGGGCCGAGCATGCCGAGGGCATCCACGAGCTCTACCCGGCGAACGACGTCGAGTGCCACGAGGTGTTTCGTCGTCTGATCGACACCCTGCCTGCGGCAGGGGTTTTTGCCAAGGGAACCTTGGCCGCGTGGATGGTCCAGTCCTACTACGGGGCCATGTTCTCCATGCAGACCAAGCCGGAGTATAGAAGGAAAGGATACGGAACCAAGTTGGCCAGGTGAGGCCTGCTCTCGTTTCTTTAGTAACCCAATAAACAGAAAGTGGTGGAGTACACGTTGAAAAGTGGGGTAAAACCGTTGACAGTAATCGTATAGTGTGTTACAAAAAAAAATATATATATGTGTATACAATGACCTTTTCATAATATCTTAAGTACTTGATGGGACGAAATAAATGCAGCGATGCAATCGCTGCACGTTTGCTGTATGAGTCTTCGGGGTACCGCTTGCTTTAGTACTTCGGCTGTTTATTACATGTCGGTGTTACTCGATTCCGTATTTGGGAAATGCTCGAAGGTATCGATCTCCTTGCAGGTACCTGACGAAGGAGGTGGCTGACCGGGGGTATAACCCCTTCGTGGTGATCCGGCCGGAGAACGAGGCGAGCCAGCGCCTCTACTCGAAACTAGGCTTTAAGAAACTCTACCAGACGGTAAGGGCGGTCTTCACGCCTCACTCGTGGCAGGAACCCGAGGAGGAGGCCAGCTCGATACTTCGCGACAACCTGGAGAACGCGGTTCGCCAGCTGAAGGTGGAGCAGCGGGTGCTGGAGAACCTGCAGGTAGGGATCAGAAAACGCGGTAGAGCTTCGCTTGCTTTCCTGTACGTACGTCGAAGCATCGATACTTTGGTCGCATCGATTCGCCCTGCTTGCAGGCCGAGGAGGAGGCCACGGTGATCGCCGACCCCGAGGACAGGGACCCGGAGGGCGAGGAGACGATACGAGACTCCACGGACTCGCCCGACGACGAGGAGGAGATCCCGAGGGAGGAGAGGCAGTTCGAGGAGAGCCTGGAGCCCATCGAGGAGCAGCCCGAGGACAGGATAAGCAACGACTCCGTCGACGAGGAGTCGACAACGGGCCGGCAAGAACGGCAGAGTCCCGGCGACCTGGCGAACGGCCATCCCGACTAGATTTCGATCCTGGTCGCGTTCCAGCCTCTTCTGGGACGCGTCCTCGAGGTCGCACGCCGGACCTCGAGGTCGCGGACCGTCCTTTAGGTCTGTCGAAGGTGTTTACGATGACATTCTTTGCTTGCTTGCCAGGCTGCGTCTTCGTCGAGAGGGAGCTTCGCTCGGGATGAGTCTCTTCGAGGGGGGTAATTTGTTCAGAAACTGGCACGACACCCTGGGACTGTGGCTCTTAACCCCTTCGAACCCTGAGAACAAAGCTCTGGTTAATAGATGCGTCTGTACGCGGAGAAGGGATTTTTTTTGCATGCTAAAATATACGGAACACCAGAGATATAGGTTAAGGACCACTGTTCTGGAACGACAAGGGTGTCAGGCTTTGATGACAGAAGGATTTGAAAGAATTTTGAGATGCTTGGGATACTTCAATTATTCCATTTATTTTCCTATCGCAGTAAAGTGGGAATCTAATCTGAGTTTGATAAAATCATTTAAATTGAGGAGCATTATTAAACGCCGATTAATGGATATAGGATATTTTTAGGATCTATGCTTTTAACATTTTTCTGTGATGAAGTAGATGGTAATACTATGTACATTGTATAGAAATTCCAAAAACATGCTTGGTTTGCAAAGTAGACAAATTCTGTGTCGAGGCCCCTGAAAGTATACTTTCGGTTGATCAGCTGTGTAAGAAGGAAAACTGCCTAGCAGGAAAATGTCACCGGTGATACGCTACTAATTTCTTTATCATAAACAATAAGATAACGAAATCGCTTGAAACAATACATAATATTACAGGGTAATTTATCACAGAAAAATATTAACAATTAGAAAGAAATTTCCTTGAGTTCCTAACTTTTATAATTTACGATACAGAAATTTGGAGCATTCTAATAACTGTGCTCTGGGAACGATAAAATGATTTTTTCAAGTTTGCAATACTTTGAATATACAGCATCTCAAAGTTCGATCGAAATCCGTACAATGTCAAGTGACTCGATCATTTGACTTGTAAAGTCAATGTCAACCATGAGGGGTCTGCAGTCAGAAGGGCGTAACTCGAATTTTTACGCACAATGCCATAGTTGCATTTAGGTGCAGATTGCATTACATACACTCCTGTTTGATAGTTTTTAAATATTTTTAAGACAAAATCCCTATTCGATTGTCAATGTTCTTTTTAATTATCTAACGACGTATTTATTAACTGTAATTATCCTTGAGCTTCGATAAGGTCGCTACGAAGTCAGCGTATTCAACGGTTAAGCCAATGTTAGTAGTGCGATAATTAACAATTTTGCACACACGGTTACAAACTCTTCTAGCTTCAGGCCCAAGTTGAACGGTTACGTTTTCCTGTATTTAAAATATTTATTATACATATGTGAACAATTACCGCCGATTCTGTGATATCATTTTGTTAGGTTGTTAGGAAGTTTACGTCGTGTCGGTAAAAGTTTGTTGTTAAATGTCGGTCAGAATTTGCGGTTAGGACGAAGCGACCTCTCGGTGCAGAGATTGTTCCGATTGGCGGGAAAAATCGCCAAGCCAAGGGAAAAAATTGGCGATCTGGCTTAACATGGATATTTGGAATTACAAATATAATGTCAAACAATTAAATCCTCCATAAGTGCGAAAAGTGCGAAGGTAATCCGCCGTTAAATTCACCTTCACAGTTAATAATTATTACGAATACTCGTTACATTAAGGGAGCTCGTACCTACTGACGGTATTAAAACCACTCATCTTTTAAACATATACAGGAAAGGAATGAAACACATTTAAATGCAGTTTAAGCGTGCCGTTAACCGCGCTCTAATGTACATATAGATTCAATTATTTATGTTTACATGGAAAAACTGGCAAAGAAAGTGTTATTAGGTAACTAAAATGTCGAGTAATTTAGCATCTACATCGCGTGTACTAAATATGAACTTTACGGGACCAAAATTTTTTGAGATATTTCCCGACAGAGCATGAAAAGTGACATTGTTTGGAAACTGGCTTAAAAGTTTCAGAAGAGGTTAATTTTTCTGCATTATGAAAATATGTACCTAAAGAATGGTTAATAACACGCTTCCGCTATGTTTGCATGTCACGTTTCAATTCTTCCCGTACTTGTCTGAAAAATAGGTGTGTATTGTTTATTTGGATAATAAGTACGGGCCCCCTTAAGGCCACTTTTCAATGGCCGGAGCTTGACACTGTCAATGTGCAATCGTACAATAATTTACATCTAGATCATTTAAACGAGCCCTAATAAGCGACTTGTCGTTTCTAGTAATTCCATATAATCGTGTTACTCCACGTCGAGTTGCAAATTCGAAAATCCTCGGTAAACATTGGCAGGGCGTTTGTCCGATTCTCCCGGCCCTAAGCAGGCCGCGGGGCTAGGATGTTAAGTAAAAGAAAATGGGTAAAGGTAAAAAGAAGAAAAAAATGAAAAGAAAAGGACAAAAAGAATATTTTAACAAATTCCCAATAGTTTAAGGGGATGCGGTCGCAAGTTCGCGCGCGGCTCGATTGCGTACGGGGAGCGCGAGCTTTTCTTTTCACTTAAGCTCTCCGTAATGTTCCTCATATCATATTTGTTGAAGATGTTAGGTGATATAGCTCAGGACCAAAGAAGGACGCGAGTCCTTCGGCGACGAGACTTTCCACGTTTTTTCGGACCCAAAGATCTGGACAGACCGACCTCATTGGTCCCATCAGGCCCGAATCTTTCTCGAGAACGTGAATTGTTTAATAAGGAGGAAAAGATTTTTCAAAACTACCTGACATTTCCCCTTACTTAAGGGGATGTTAATGTGGCGTCCGAAGAGTCAATCGTTCATGATACTTTTCTCCCGAGCTGGGTATGCTGAATCTTGTCAAACTCTACAACGCAAATATGGAGGCTATGAGGATGGTGTACTGACCCTCATTAAATTACATTTTTTACTGGCGAATTAAAAAAGTATCCGTGAAGAAATCTTTAAAAAATTGATACCTCATCGGCATCTCTCTTGTACCCTCCATGTTTATATTGGAAAGCTTGAATTTCTAGAGAAATTGGAAAATTGGAGTCATGTCGAAATTGTAATTGTAACACTGGGTCCTCGTCGTACTCGAAGAATTCCGTTAGAGACAGAATTGCGGAATTTCGTGGAGACGTTTCGTCGAGGCCTGCTCGCAGGTTGTTTGCGCTAAACAATTGTCGACAATTGATTGTACAGGCGCAGGCGCTCGACTCGGTATACGCGTACCGAGTGTACCGAGAGTAGCACGTAGATGATGAAGCAATCTGTGATCATTGTTCATTTTCTCTCCGAGATATTTGCAATCGTTGCTGGGCAAGCTGCGAGACGTCTTAGAACAGTGTAATAATTAATAATTAATTTACGGGTAAATACGTACTTCGCCAATCCCGGTGAAATTGTCAATTGAAGTAGCAGTATTCTAGTCATTTCTCTTTACGTTTAAGTTAGGACTAATTAATTAATTTAAGCGATGCCCAGCACCGATTACGAAACTTTAAAGACACGAGAGGGAGAGAGAAATTGACGAAGCCTCGCGCGAACCTGAGACGTACATAAACACAAACACTAAGTGGTTGTTAAAAAATTCAGGATTTATATTAATTTCATTTTTCGCGGGGACAAAATAATGATAAAGACAATTGGCAGGTATAAAATGAATTCTGACATTTTTGGCAACTGGTTCACACACAAAGCCATGATAAAATTTGTGGAATCGGCGTACACACACACACCCACACACTCACACGAATTACCTACTACACGTACGCACGCATATACTCCGATTTCCTCACCACTCTCCAATGTCCAAGAGTATCGCTGTGTTGGTGCTTCTTTGCGGCAAAACTCAAAAGAAATATATATGCAATTTTATGATACTAATAGTTGCCATTGCAAAAAAGTCGAAAAGAGGCTATTTGTCAGCGAGCGACCAAAAAAGGGGCTGAAGGCGGTTCGAAAGGAAACGGACGAAGCTTGCGATTCTTCTCAGTTATTTAATAAATATATTAATTTTCCCGAAAAGCCTTTTCGTCAAATCGCGAATATATCTGAATCCTGGAAAGAAGAACCGGACGATTAGAATTCTTCGGTAATGTCGCTTTTATTAATTCTCAATCCTAAAGTAGCTGAGAAGAATCTTGAACTCCGTCCCCTCGATTTTCCTCTGCTAATCGGAGATTAAATCAACGTTTAAATGTATTTTTCAATTTTCCTCACTTCCGAGGTAGAAAATCATTCTAGCGTTAACGAGATTACTGACGTCGGAGCTTTCAATATGAATGGTACGCGTTATCACCGTTTACGATCGAACTTGAAATTCCCATAATGTGTAGTCAATTGTAACGATACGTAATTATTTAAGGGGTTTTTCCTTTTTCTCTCGGTTAGGAAATATTTTATTCAAACGGCAGCTAAGCGGGTCGAAAATTCCGTCCATTTCCTTCCAAACCGATTTCTTCGCCTATCGGGAAATGCGTCGGCCGTTATCAGAGGCTCACGTACACGAAGTGATTATGGAAGAAATGTTGGAAAGCACGCCTCTCCGTTCCAGTAATATTATTAAATATCGCCTCGGCTTTCAGCGAATGATTAATATCGTTTTATCACGTCGTGACTTCCCTCGGTCGAACGTTGCTCGCGGTACCGGCACAGCGATGATAACGCGGTATAACGATAACAATAAACGACAACAATAGTGACGAGAAACACTAGCGTTAACGATTAAGATCGGAGAGAAAGCGAGAAAGAGAGAGAGGTGCGTACGATTACCGCCAGATCTAGGGAAAATACTGATTTACATTAAAAAAAAAAGAAAAACGAAGAAACTAACAAACAGCACACCTTTGCAATCTATTCCTCGAAATAATCACTTAATCTATATTTGGATAATAATTAACAAATTGTAACGGCGTTTTACATTATTACATTTTACGCTGAATTCAGAGCACATCTGACAATGACAACGGCAATGTGTATGAAAATTGTTAATAAGTGGTTTATGCAAGTTAATGCAACATTCTGTACATACATAATGTAACTACCGCGGAATTATTGACATTTCGTATTTATGAATTTAATTGCCGAACAAGGGTAAACATTGGTAGATATTGGAAATTATCCTTAAGGATGCTTAAGTCATATCCGGAAGTTTCGTTATCAGTGATATTATTTATAACGTCCTGTAGAATTGTTTAGAATTAATTGTGAAAGCTTTGATCGGTCATAAGGAAATCCGAGCAGAAATGTCCGAATACATTTGACACGCTCGTTTCGAGGAATCGTTTGGGGGGTAATGTTTGCAACAATTAATTAATTTATTGTAAAGAGTGTTTTGCTCAGGTCTGATAACCGCGCAAACGGGAAACCCGACGTCCCAGCCTTGCTGACGGAAAACCTTAGGAGAACCTAGAGACCTTAGATAGGTATACACTACTTGTATAATTTTTTCTACGTTTCATAGCGATAACGACGACCGATAGGTAATCGATAATCGATGTAAAATTGAGGCGACATAGAGCGGCACTGGGACGTTCGATGGCACCCTTCGAGGCTCCCCTCGCGATCGCTGTTTTGTTGAAACAAAAAAAAAAGGAGAAAATAGGAAACGAGAGATGAAATGTTCCTTTCGGATTCGGTTTCGATTGATTTCTTATCACCGTACGTCCGGACGAGGGGAGCCAGCTGTGATACTTTATCCAATCCAATTTAATGTCTCGGCCAGCGAATACGATTTTCTAGTCTAGGCGAGATCGAACGTTGCTTATACGACCACGATTCCTGCGATTAGTCTCTGTCGGGTTTTTTGTTTAGTTGCATCCTGCAGGACATTGTTTAATCGGACGGAACAAAAATTTCAATCGGCAAATTAAGTAGCAAAGGCGCACTCGAGACTTAAAGTCGCAACTATACTCGTTACCATATTGAACTAAGCCAAAGAATGTGAAGGAAAAGTTATTGCAATATTTTTCGCCGGCGTTAATAATTAGAGAACAATTTAAGCGGTTCCGTGCCTAAGAGGCGAACAGGTTGTCCGATCACTCTGGTCGATAAGCGGATCTGCGTTGATTGCGGTCTTCTCCCTTATCGGTGCTTGATACCAAAAAACATCTCCAATGAAAGTTGTTCCTTACCTTATGGAGAGAAATCTTTGTGAATAACAAATTCTTCTATATTGCACCGTTACGCGAGTAATGTGCAATAATGTCATGTAATGTCATAATAACACACGTGGGAATGAGAGGGAATAATCGTCTAGCAGAAAGTTTCGCAATGTTTCGAAATGACGTTTCCGGCAGCTACGAAGTGCCTAAGCGATGCAACTTTAAACAAATGACCTGAAAACAAATAGATTTGCTTGTGCCATCGCGAATGTCGACTCGCGGATTCGCCCTGTGTGGCATCGGCTTCCTCGCTGGTTATCGATCTCAAATAAATCGGCTTCGTTTAACGTTTCGACACTTATCTGTGGATCTAATTACACTCGAATCACCGTAGTTTGGTTGTACGAGCAAGTGCGGTCTCGACATAGTTCAGCTCTGCCACATTATTCTCTCCGGACACGCTATCACGTTGAATTTACGAAAAAGAAGGGGGAAAAGAAAGAAAAAGAAAGAAATCCTATCTTCGGTGACAAATTGTGCGCTTGATTGTAATCCGACATGGAGTTTTACAAGAGGAACAACAGGGATCACGAAAACGGGCGGTAGCCTCAAACTTTTCCACGTAAAGTGGAATTCCGATTTTCCGAAGGCTCCGAAAAAAAAAAGGCCGAAATCGAATTTTCCAAAAAATACTGGCACCCTATAAAGCGAGGTAGATTTAAGAAAAAGTTGAAAGCGTTGCAACAAAATGCTCGTTACTTCGCACTAAATGTCAAGAATTCGATATCAGAGATTCGGAGCGAAGAAATATTTTACCTTCAGATTCAAAACAGATGACGGCATTTTGGCACTGAAGGATGATATCTTTCCGTGCGGAAACGACAAGAGCCGTGATTTTTAAAACAAAAGCTTTTGACCATTGAGCAATTGTGAAGTACATTAAATTAATCGAGCGACGTCTAAGGAATAAATTTCGGAAAATCGCGGTTCCGCTCGACGGCCACTCTTGTCAATTAGGTACATCGCGCAAAGAGAGACGAATTTTGGTATGACCTCCGCGAGGAAAAAGAGAAACCTAGAAAAAAAAAATAAAAGGAAAAGAAAAGACCCGGTAGTAAAAAGAGCGAACCCCACGAGGACGTTGAACCGAGCTCCGGAAGCGACACGAGTATAACCCGAAAGTACAATAAAATGGAAAGTAATAAAAAAAGAGAGAAAAGGAGAAGAGAAGGCGAGTAAAAAGAAACGAAAAAAAAAACAGAAAAAAGCGCCGAGGTTCTACATACACCACCGGTTGAATTAATTCTAGCTCGTAAGTATCGATCGGACAGTTTCGGGACCTCGATTAAAAAACAATTGCATGCCCGAAGTGACGAAGATCAAACAGACAGGAAGGGGGAAAAGATATTGGGGAGAAAAGAGAAACATTGAATTTAGTCCATGTTGGACAGAAATAAAAAAATAAGATCAAGGCAGCCTTTTTGGGGGGAAAGATCAAGACAGTCGGTGCGCAAACCTCGTTGAAAGAAATGAAGGAAAGAAATTAAGAATAAAAGGGAAGGAAAGAGGGCAGGGACTCGAGACATCAACGAACTTATTACGAGGGATTTTAGTCCAGCCTCTAGATATATCGTGCTAGCTGTAGCGCTTCCGAGAAGAAACGAAAATCGAATTGTCATCGGGATTAGGCCTAACCGAAGCACGTCTTACTCCTAATGCACTTCTGTAAATATGTTCTTCCTCTCCTCTTAAGCATTACTGCTCCACCGCGGCAGCATTAGGAAAAACCGGTCGTTTGGCGACACGATCTCATCGCTGAGAGAGAATAAAGAAAAACAAGGTGAGAGAGAGAGAAAAAAAAAGATAAGAGAAAGAATAAATCTATGCCTATGGAAAAGTGGAAGTCGGATAGCCGGAGTCCGTTCTTCGAGCGGAGCGACTCGAAATCTCGAGATCACTTTTCTGGTTAATGTCGAATGATAAATCTTGCACTTTGCTCTGCTCGACGAACGGTCTTCCGGTAATATTGCATTCCCCGAGTGCTTTGATTTTTTAACAGCTTCTGTTAACTCTGTGTAACACCACGTGACATTGAAGTAACGGACGCGTATGTCGATATTTCTCAAGTCCTATTTGCTTCTTGCGAAACATAATGTAAGCGCATTACTGTCGTGCCTCTCCTTTGCAGCCGAGGGATTTATTTCTAAATTGTATATCTGTGAACATTCGGAAAAGTAAATTTATATTCAAGTACTTCAACAAGATCGTTTGAAAAATTATGTCGCAAGAAAATGGACCGTTTCTTTATTTTTTCCAAACTTCGATTAGCAAGATTACTTTTACGCAGGTAGTAATTGGTTGACGTCACCTGCGCCTGCCGGGATCGCGTTTGAAGTGAACATTGTCACCTAGAAAGACAATCTTTTTCCCGCTCCGCGGTTATGCGAAGGACGGTGTGTTTCAAACGAGTACAAGCTGTCATTTAAATGTTTACACTCACCGCGCAATGCGCGACCCATATACGACTGGTAGTCATCCTGCAATCGTAGATTCTAGCTATCGCACAGCTGCAATTGACCAATTGAACGAGTACCGAGGTATTTCGCCATTACATCCGACGACTACATCAGCAATTACCAGCTACGAAGCGTTGACAGTCGAGTGACAGCTGGATACCACGTGCGCAGCGACCACGTGGTCGCAGCTTCGGTCCTCCTCGGCTCCCCTCGACTAACATCGGATCTCTTGTCATATATAGATTCATACGCAAGTACATAAGTAAAAGTACAAGATACAGCGTACTTAAATGAGTCGAAACCCTTCTTTCAGGATTTAGATTTCCAACCGTTCCATCGTGCAATAAAAATTTACATACCACTGTCAATTCTTAAGTCCTTTATTGCATGCCAACTATCTTCCGGTTTCCTTTTCCCACTTCGGTGACAACTTTAAATCCGTATCGCATCAAATTAATTCTCCTAGACTAGTGTTTATTTCAGTAACATTTTGGACCGCTGATACTTAGCTTGTAAAAAGATGTAACCTTATATACGTATAAAATGTAATACTTTCTACACGTTCTATATAAAAAGTATGTAAATTCGCCTTCCTTAAATTAAACCCACGGCATTAATATTATGCCCCTTTCTTGTTAGCGTATAAAATAATCTGTCATGATTCGCATCTCTAAATCTCAAGATACATTTATCTTACAATTGTTTATACACTTTGGATAGAAATTCGTAAATGTTCTACTTTCCGCTTCGATCGGCGAGCTGTTTACAGATGGCGCGGGTTTCGCCGATCGGCCTGTCGGAGAGCGACCTTCTCCCTCGCTCTCATTCGCAACGCGTTCACTTTCCACCGGCCAAGCCGGCGCGCGTCTCTCTCCCTCCCTCCCTCTGATCGCCCGCCGGGAACGGTGACCTAGCTTCGGACCTTCCGGCCGTTTCGGGCCGATTCAAGTGCACCGGACGACGACCTATCTTAACCCTTTCGCCACGGCGGCCGGCTTCCTCGCTCCAGTTCGCACCGTTTTTCATTCCCGGGCGAAAGAGTTAAAAGCCGAGGCGCGTCGGCACGTGGTGCCTCCTACAATACCTCAAAATTAAGAGTAGCAAGTAAAATCCTGAATTTTCTCGCGAGCTAGAGTCTAAAGGAATTTCAAGCATTCGGCTCCCATAGAACTTCCTCGAATAAGTACGTTAGAAGATGCGGAATAATTCGCGTTGCATCCAGTAACATGGCTGCAGAATTTGACAGTTGAGTAATCGCATTGGTAATTACAATTTTGCAATCTGGATTTATTGAACCTTAAAGCGTGGACGAGTTTTACAGCACTCGGATGTTCAATAGTAGCGAGGTGGTCGTGTCGCCGCCATCTTGGATTCGCTCTCGGGGAACGTATTCGCCGTCGCATCGGGTCACGCGGCCACGGTCAGTGGATGAAACTCAGGTTACGTCAACGGCCGCCATCTTGGCTTTCGCCGTCGAAGGGGTTCTAGTCGACTCCTCGCGGTCTACGGACCTTGACTGACCTATTTCCACGTCGAGGAGGCGTACTGCAGTCTCCTTAAATTTAATCTCATAGAAGCTGCCAACCCGTTCGAGACAACGATGGATCGCGATCAACCCGGAGTTCGATCATCGGCTCGGATAAAAACAGGTTGCCATTTTGAATTTTCTCGAGGAATAGAACCCGTCGGTTCGGTCTCTTCACGGTCGGCTGTCCTAGGCCGGAGCCCCGTCATCCGCCATCTTGTTTTCCTTCGAAGCGATCCTCGTTCAGTCTTCGCGCGACCGTCCCCGAGGAAGGTGGCACCCCGCACCTCGAGTCGACCCCGGCTGACTCCGGTGAACGAGCCACGGCGACCCGGCATATTTCTCGCACTTTTCCGCGTCTACGAAGTCTCGCGCACCCTCGGAGGCGGCCGCGTCGCCGCGAGATCGCAAGGAACGAGTGAAGGGAGAGGCATCTCCGCGGCAACGCTGCCGCGCAGGTGAGCGGCGAGACTGGCACCGTCGCGCCATGCGCGCGGCGGCGGCGGCGGCGTCGGCGGCGCGACTCGGCCGCGCTCGGCCCCGCTCGGGCGACTCCGGCGCGCGTGGTGGGGGGACCCCAGTGTATCCGTGACGTCACATAATTAGAGTAAATACAAAGTAGTCTTGATGGGACAGCGGCGTGCGCCGCACCGTGAGTCGCTGGTCCGCCGCGCGCGTCGAGCCTATATCGCCAGGGCGCCTCACACACGCGTAAACCGACGCACTCGACGGGCGTGCGTGTTCCTCCGTGATCCGTGCCCGGGTCTCTCCGTCGTGGGTGCCGTGACTCGAGTGAGAGTGACACATGTGTGCGCGGGATCACAGAAGAGCCTAGATGAACGTCAAGACAGGGAGTGACTGCCGGGAAGACAAAAATGGATAAGATCGAGGTGAGTGCCTGCGCCTGATTAACCTCAAACACCGACCTTCTGATAACCTGACTCAAAACACTCGCCTCGTCAACTTTCGACAATGGCCGCATATTTTGTGGGGGGAAAAAATGGATATACGCTAACGTGGAATAAAATAATATATCGAGCCGATTTAAGAGAGCGCTGAGAGGGTCCCGGTGCCGCGCGGAGCGGCAAGGCGCGAGGAGTGACAGCGCCGGGAGGGGGAGGCACGATGGTGGGAGGGAGGTGGAAGGGATGGAGTTGATCGTGTAGTTAGACATCTGGCAACGAATGCCATTGTGTGTATCTTCAACGAGCGATACCATTAGACGCCTCCTCTCTCTCTTCCTCGCGCGGCCTCCTTCCTCCTCTCGACGTTCGTTTGTCGCGTCGCTCTGTCCCTCTCGCTCCCGCCGCCCGGCGCGCACTGCCCCCCTCTCGCTCCTGCCCGCCCGCGCGCCCGCATCGCTCCTCCCACCCTCGGCCCGCGTACCTGCTTCCCCCTCCATGCCCGCTGTGTTTGGCCCTCTCTCTCGCTCTCTCATTCTCAGTCGGTAAAGTATTTATAGATGTGCCTTAACCCGATTTAACGCCACCGCGAGCGCTCGCATTGTCCTAACAGCGACTTAATGACCAGCCGAGCGATCTTTCTCTCTCTCTCTCTCTCTCGCGAGCCGGCCGCGATCGGTGCATCACCCGGGAATGAAAACTCACCTAGACCCCCGACCACTCGGCCGCGTCGAGTCGTTCGACGTGCCATTAAACAAATGGAAGTAAATAGAAACAAAGGCGTCTCCATTGCGGAATCGGGTAATTTTGAAATTGAAATCAGACCTCGGTAATTATTTTAGGAATTAATGAGAACATATACTCATCCAGACCCTCTACCGATCCGCTGCGAGTATCTTCAACGAGTATATAAATGTAAATAATGTTGTTATCATTTTTAAAGTTTTACCAAAATTACTGGGAAACTAATCGATACGTGGGTAAAGCTTTATTGACCGATGTTGCACTTCGGCAAATGAATGTAAACTTCGGAATTGGGTCGTTTGGGTCGCCAGGGATTTTTAGCCAACCCGATAGTAGGGGATTATTATTATATCTATTATTATCTTTTCAAGGGAGGAGAAAAAAAAAAAGAATTGAAAAGGTGATCGTGGAACTTGATTGTCAGGGAACGCGATGCGCGCACGTCCGCAACCGACGACGTTTGCGCAATATTTTTGCGACGGTAGAGAGGTTAGAACGCAATATGTTCACATTGGATTAAATCCGCAGATGTTGGGAGTGCATTCTCTGCGTTTAATTTAGTCGACTCGCCGGGACTCGGGAATGTTCCGGCAGCCTGGAAAAGCGGGACAAACTCGTTTTTCCAGATGAAATAGTGAATGAGGAAATATGTTCAAGTGAATGTGGGATTTTTAACGTGGGTTATTATTGTAGCGTCCCGTTTACGTTCTTCTTCCTATCCTAGCAACGGTGAAGAGGCAGATAATTTTTGAACGCTTAAAATTGATTTTAATTTGCGTTCGCGTTAGCTAAGCTTCAGATTTTTCAGAGCACGGTGCAGGAATAATCTCCGGCTATCTTCTGTTATCGAAGCCCACGTTGTTTTCTCATATTTTTTTTTTTTCTTTTTAGATCCTCGAGGTCGAGGAATTCGATTTCAACGTTAACCTTGTATCTCGATAGAGATATTCCGCTCAACGGGAATGGCAATTATTAAATCAATGAAGAGAAAAAAAAAAAAAATAAACAATGCAGCCTTGGGGTGCGATAACGGGAAGGAAGCCGATTATTTAATTTTACATCGAATGTTGCACATTTTACCCAAGGTGTGGACGTGACGTCGAGGGAGATTTAATATTTTGTTAAATATTTTCCGATCGCTTCGTTTTGAGAAATCCTCTTCGGTTCGGTTTAATCGTTGAT